ACACTCACACACACACACAAACACATATACACACACACACACATACACTTACACACACACACATATACACACACATACACTCACACACATCCACACACACACATACACACACACATACACATACATATATGCACAAGAAACATCGATCTGTTGAAGCCAATGAATCTGATCAATAGTTTGATTGATTAGTCAGTTTAAATCGTTCTCTGGTTCTAGGTTTAAATCAGTATAATCTCTCTCTCTCCCTCAGGATCTTCGGGGGTCTGGTGAACGACGTGCGGAGGAAAGCTCCCTTCCTGTGGAGTGACATCAGAGACGCCGTCAGTCTTCAGTGTTTGGCGTCCGTCCTCTTCCTGTACTGCGCCTGCATGTCGCCCGTCATCACATTCGGAGGACTGCTGGGAGAGGCCACCAAAGGAAACATAGTAAGAACCTGAATTATTGATTATTGATTAGCTCTCATATTGATATTTGTACAACTCAACCTGGTCTGACTCTCTCTCTCTCCCTCTCTCTCTCTCTGGTAGAGTGCCATAGAGTCTCTGTTCGGGGCGTCTCTGACGGGCGTGGCCTACTCTGTGTTTGCCGGTCAACCGCTCACCATCCTGGGCAGCACCGGTCCGGTCCTGGTCTTTGAGAAGATCCTCTTCAAGTTCTGCAGGTGAGTCACCTCCAGGTTCCTTTCACCTGAGTCACCTTCACATGGAGCTGCAGCAGGAGGCGTGGCCGCTCCCCGCTGGTCACCATGGTAACTACGTTAATCACAGTCCAGAATGTTGTGTGGTTCTGTGGTTAGTTCACTGTCTGTAATGACAGTGGGAGATGAGTGATAGACCGATCAATCAATAGAAAATAAATAATCATAATCAACAATAAATAAAAACTAAATAAAGAAGTGGTGACATCATCACCATCGCTGCAGCTTGAACCAGGAGATCAATCATTTTCTCTCTATGTACGAATAGAAAGAAAGGCCCCCAGGCCCCCCAGTCCCCAGGCCCTCAGGCCCTCAGGCCCTCAGGCTCTCCAGGCCCCAGGCCCTCAGGCCCTCAGGCCCTCAGGTCCCCAACATCAGACACATGAAATATTACACAGCTTATAACAAGTAATAAAAACCTAATGGTGATTTTGATGCCCTGTGTTCGTCCATTTCCTGTTTCAGATGTTTTTCCCACAATTCATCTGGAATGAGATTCATTCATTTCCAGTCTCTCCTGGTGATGTCACTCAGGTTGAAGAGTTTCACATGTTTTTATGTGTGTGGGTGGAAACTGTATCATTTCATAACAGATCCACATTTCAGTGAGTCGGTGCGTGTCGGACTGTTCCAGCTGCAGGTGATGGCGTCACTCCATGACCTCAGCGTCGTCATTCACGACCCTGAACATGAGACGGACGTGTTTTTATAAAGTTAGTTGGATAAGAGCTCAAAGCGACCAATGAGCAGAATCAGGCCTTTGTGTTTTGGGTTTACGGGGTCAGAGGTCACAGATAATCATGATTTATGGACTTGTGGAGCAGCTGTGTAATTGGCTTTAGAGCGACTGTGCGTTTGTGTGTTTGAGCTCAGGGGGCGGAGCAGTTTCTATTGTCTTTTATTTTTTGACTGAGGATTAAAAAAGCTTTTTGTGATTGAAAAAAAATCTTTTGTAACACTTACATAAAATCCTTATTTTTTAACCTGCTCCATTTCCCAGCAGATTATATCACATTTTATTTTCGGGTCTGATTTTAAAACTCAAATATTTCCAGGAAAACACGTCAGAGTTTCAGCCTCTGTAGTTATTCAAGAAGAAAATAAAAATGTAGTCTGTGATGTTTTCAGTGTTTCTGATCTGAAACAATCAGCTGATCAATAATTAATTATTTGTTTGTTTGAGTCAAAATTATCAAATTTCTACATTTGTAGACCAAATAGTTGAAGAAGATAATCAGCAGTTTATTCACTGAGCAGGTTTGAGACATTTTATGTTTCTGCTTCAGGTTTTAAGTCAACCAGGAGCAACTAGGTCAAAGGTCACAGTCATGTCTTTATGCGCTGCAGACAGGAACCTGTGAAAGTCTTTTCCTTCAGCTGGAGATTTAAAAAGCTGAGCAGGAAAGTTGATCAAATATTGACTAATTGAATCAGATCCAGGATCAGTGTGATCTGGTTACAGGGAAGTGACATCAAGCTGAATCAGCTGTTCACTGCTCCATTGGACCTTCTGATTCTTCAGATCACTAATCTGACAGGTTGAATTGTCAATCAAAGAATCGTGATCTGTTCTGGGTCTACTCTCTCCAAACGTCAGTTCCCCAGGGACCAACTGATGAACCTCTTTTTAATATGTTTCTATGATTCCTGACACTGAATATTCTCTAAATATCTTTAATAAATGCTTTGCATTTTACAACAGGCCCCGCCCCCAAGATATTGGAGGGTTTCTGTCCAGCTCCAGACACTTCTGCATATGTAGGAATATAAATATGAATATACGTCCTGTGGTCCAGACTGATACTGGTCAGAAACCAGTCTGAAATAAAGTGATGTCACCATCAGATCACATGATCAATAAAACAATAGGCTGATTAACTGATCATGAAAATGAACTGAGTCTTTGAACGTTTTTATTTATGAGTCGTGAGGTGTCTGCTCAGTCACCTGAGACGTCACACGACAACAAAGAGAAAACAGTTTTTCAGACGATGATGATTGAAGGAGACACCAGACACCAGTTCTGGTTCGGTCCATGTGCGTCCTCACATGGGGAAGAGCAGGAAGCCGCTGAAGGTGCTGTGGTGGTTGCTGTTGTCCCAGATCTGAGTCTCGTGCCACAGCTGCATGGAGAGAGTGTCGCCCTGCTCCAGCAGCAGGGCGGCGCCGTTGGACGCCGTGTCGCTGCCCTCACCGGACGGCTGCTCGTGGGCGATGAGCTGGATGGCGGCGTTGTTTTTGTAGAGCACGGCGCTCATGGGGTAGTTGGTGGGAGCGTTGGCTGTGAAGCGAATGTAGTAGACTCCACGAACAGGTGCAGTGAACACACCTGGAAGAGGGAGGGGATAATAAGTACGGCGGGAGAGGAGGGACAAAATGACTGAAGCAAAAGATGTTTCTGTCCGTCTGTATGTAGAGAGGCGCTAACGTTATTCACTGTTCCCATCCTGTAATCTGACATCAGTTTACCAAAGAAGAAGAATAGAACAGACGTGACGGAGACAAGTCAATATTGGTGTTTGTTTCCACCTCTGGAGACAGATGTTGTGAGTGAAGGAATGAAGTTCACAACTCACAACGTTTCTTCTAGACTGGTGAGTAAACAGCTGCTAATGCTAACGTTAGCTAAACGTTAGCTATGTAGCAATAGCAGAAACTCACTAATAGCTCCTTTAATGGCAGCAAGTGGTGGGAAACAGAACATGTTCTGGATGTTTGGTTAAAGTTTGAGCTAAATAAAGAAAATATTTCGAACATAATTGTGATTTTAAAACATAATGAAATGGGTTTTTGAGTGTTTTGATCGCTCACCTGTCTCAGAGTTGTACGTCTGTCCAATGTTGGTCATGACGGTTTTGTAGATGAGCGTTTTGCTTCCTGACGTCGTCTTCTGGAGACCGTTACCTCCGAGGGAAACTGCGAACGCCACCTTTGGTACGTCTGCAGAAAAACCAGAACACCATAAAAGAAGAATTAAAAATCTAACCTAATCATTTCAAATGAGGTATAAATATACCTTTAAACACCACACTGCATTCACCCTGTGCTCAGTTTATATTTATATTTGCTGAAAAAACCCCTTGTAAAATATATTATTTATATTATATATATTACATTATAATAAAATATATACAATTCATTTTAATTAATTTCAACATCTTTATCGTCTTTCTGGTTTTATAATATCATTAAAACCAGTTTACATAACAACTGAAGAATAAATAAATCAACATCAAAGTGAATTCAGCTTCAAATATGTTTTATATACACAAACATCCATCTTCCCTGAGAGAATACAGTCAGTATGGATGATGTCCACTGGAGGGTGCTGCTCCACCACTGCTCAGACACACTGAGGTTTTACTGCTGCTGGTAAATGACAGACAGACACTGACCTCTCATGGCCTTCAGCTCCCTCTCTGTGGACTCCAGTCTCTCTTTGATTCCTGCAAACACACATTCACACCACGTGGGTAAAAACTGAACAATAATTCTCTCCTGTCCTTTATATCAGGACTTGTCACAAACACTGTTTTAAAAGAATCGAATCTCCTTTTATTGATGATTTTACATTTTCGGAATCTGTTTCTGATGCGTGGAAAAGGAGCAGAGAAATCATTTTTAACTTTATCTGGATTACAAACTATTAATTTATCACCTGAAACAGATCTACAGTGTTTAACTAAAATGAACTGATGCCTAAATGTTGATTTAGTTTTATGACAAAATTAGAAACAAAACACAAAGTTTCTAAGATATAGAAGCAGTTGTTAATTTGTTAACACCAACTAATATCTAACTAATGACGTGGTTCTGTAGGAAGAGAAAAGAATGGAACAGAGATGAAGAAAAATGAGGAGGTGATCAAAACTGAAACAAACCAGTGGAACTCGTCACAGCAAAATGAGCAAAATAGTGAATATTCAGTATAAATAAATGCAGATTATATGAGCATGGAGGTGAATGTGAGGAACAGAGCAGAGCACACTGAGTCTTACCCAGGTCTTCAGTCTGAAGCTGCTTCAGTGAAGCCTGAAGAGATTTCAGTTCAGCTTCAGTGTCCGTCTCTGTCGGGGCTTCGTCCACCCTGTAAACACACAAACACAAAGTCCTGTAAGAGTCTGTGGATGCGTACATGTGATACATGATTCTGGGTCTGAAGGATCGGCCTTGATTTGTTTTCTCTCTTCACCTACAGTCTGCAGGAGCATCAGATGTGGTTTTACCTGTGGTTGAATGACATGATCAATGACACAATACAAGGCTGTGTCTCCAGATGGATGAGCAGCCAGTTCACAGAAAAACAGGAGGTGATTGTGGCTGGAATTATTATTAATGATAAGAGACATTATGAGTTGGAGACACTGCCCTCAGACAATTTACAATCATCTGAGTTCCTCAGGGCTCCTTCCTCGGGCCCCTCCTGTTTTCTATCATTCCACTTGGTCAAATGATGGTAACATTTCTTTTCATTGCTTTGCAGAGGACATGCAACTTTTATAGATTAGTAAAATCAAGAACCAGCAGCAGTTTAACCCTCTTAAAACCTGTAACTGACATCAGATGTTGGATGTTTTCAGAACTTCCATCAGAATTGATGATAAATTTGATTGGCCCCGTCAGTTAAACTTAGAGCCAGAAATGTGGGACTTCTTTGAATCTAATTTTACTTTCTATTATCATGAATGGTGGTGTTGTAGTAGCAGCAGCTGTATTAGGAGACGTCCGTACTACTACGTTTTCGTCTTAAAACTCATTTCTTTTCCTACATTTCCTCCTCCGTCCACAACTCCCGAGTTTTGAGAAATTGAGAGTTTTATTTTGAAAATTCTGGGGTTGTGTTGTTGTCAGGACGGACAGAAACTGAGACTTTTGTAATCGATGAGGTCACACCCACGGTCTCTCCTGATTGGCTCTCATCAGCCTGGACTACCAGTGGTGAATACAAGATGATAATGAATTACAGTGTTCTTCCTGTTTACTCGCTTGCACATGCTCAGTGTAGGTGATGGTCATGTGACATGTGTTTTAAGGTGTTAGTGTTGACAGAGATAATTTTGGTTTTAAAAGGAAAATGTCGTAGTGTGGGCGGAGCCCTAGTGGTGTTGGTAGAGTCTGAATTGATGATGATGATGATGATGATGATGATGATGAAGGTAACAGAGGTATAAAGCACTTGTTTGGTCCTCACATGGGGAAGAGTAGGAAGCCGCTGAAGATGCTGTGGTGGTTGCTGTTGTCCCAGATCTGAGTCTCGTGCCACAGCACCATCTTCAGCTTGTCGCCCTGCTCCAGCAGCAGGGCGGCGCCATTGGACGCCGTGTCACTGCCCTCGCCGGACGGCTGCTCGTGGGCGATGAGCTGGATAGCGTTGTTGTTTTTGTAGAGCACAGCGCTCATGGGGTAGTTGGTGGGAGCGTTGGCTGTGAAGCGAATGTAGTAGACTCCACGAACAGGTGCGGTGAACACACCTGGAGGGAAAATTGCAGGTAGAGAGAGAGGAGGATTGATTAAGAATGGATCCGCCCACGACAGGAGTGGATGGAAACAAACTCTATGCTGCGTTTTCTTTTAAATTTGACTGTGGTACCTCACCTGTCTCAGCGTTGTAAGCCCCGCCCACGTTGGTCAGGACGTCCCTGTAGATGAGGTCTTTGTTGCCGTTGGTTGTCTTCACGAGGCCGTTTCCTCCCAGCGAGGCAGCGAATGCAACTTTAGGTGTTTCTGTGAAAAAGAAAAGTTGATAACACACTGTACCTCAGTTGTCAGCAGAGATCAGGACATTGTTCCAGCTGTTTTACCATGTTGTCCTTCATTATCTGTTTATCCAGCGGCCTCTTAATAAACACTACGATCTGATTAGAACTGCATTAGTCCGTCAGGAAGCAGTAATTAATACAATTATAAATGATATAGATGCTGGTTGAAAGTCGTCACCTTGGACTCTCTTCAGTTCCCTCTCAGCCGCCTCCAGACGCTCGCTCATCACTGTTCATGTGGAGAGAGAAGAACATTAAACACATGGAGCTCTGCTGGTTTCCAGCTGCAATCCCAACATCTGCTTCTCCCATTTAAAAGTCAACTAAGACTCCCAAGGTGCTTACAAACTGTGTTTACAGTGCAGCTTAACTCAGTTTAACTGGATATTAACATCTTGTTTTTAAACAAATATCAGCATCAGGTCCTTCAGTCTAGTTTATAGTTTAGGATATTAAAGCTCAGAACATTTGGTTGGTGGATGAGGGACTATCTGTACAACAGCTTCCTCTAGAGGTGAAGTGAGATGATTATTCATGATTATTTGTGTGAACCGGCCCTTTAAAAAAAAAAAAAAAAAAAAAAAAGAAGAAATGAAGTTCTGCAGAGATGTGGTCTCACCTCGTCTCTCGGCCTTCAGCTCGTCGAGGGCGGCCCGGACATTCTTCAGCTCAGCCAAGTTGTCCACAGGCTGAGGCGAGCCGAACCGGGCCAGACAGGCCAGGGCCAACAGCAGCAGGGCAGGGGGGCACAGAGACATTGTGTGGGTTGAGTCTGAGCTGCAGGGGAGACGGGAGGAGACAGGACGAGCTGCTTCTTATAGAGACACAGACTCTGGTCAATGGCCTCAGCTGATTGGTGGAACAGTTTCTCCTGAGTCAGTGTTGACTGTACATTTTGTGGTTTCTGGGGTCATGGGTCATCACTGCTGAAGGCTGAATCCAGGTCGGGGGAGGGGGTTCAGAAGTTTTCCTTTTGCAATGAAACTGTGGGAGAAAATAAAAAATTGCAAAAACTGTCTAGTAATTCATTAAAAATGGAAGGCAACTTGTTCCAGTGAGTGATCGTTTAAGGTGGAATGGAGAATAAAAGTAGTGGAGCGTGGTCCCGGAGGCTCCGGTAGCTCTACACCTGTGGCTCCAGCTCTACACCTGTGGCTCCACCACAGTGTTGCAGCGTTACAGAACTATTTAACCCTTTCATGTAAAACATGGTGAACGTCTTCACACGTCTTTAACAGGGATGTTTGTTGGTGAATGTGAGATGTACATGTCACACGTGTCTGCGGCTTCACAACATGCTTTAACACCACAAACAAGGAAGTGAGTTTGGTGACATCATCAAGGTGTTGCGGAGGTCCATGTTATCAGTCCCAAATGAAATGCTGCTTGGTCATAAAATCATTTCACCTAAACACTTCTGATGTACAGACTCAGCAGCTCATCCTGTGTGTTCTTTGGTTACTGATTGATGGAGTATTGGTCAGGTCAGTAGTGTTCAGTCACTGATCATTCTGCTCCTGTTGTTTCAGTGGTCAGGACACGTTATCTGTAACCTCCAGCTAATGAACAGACTGAGCTCTCTGAACGTCTCAACGTCATGCAGAGACATTATCAGTGAGAAGGAAGAGACCAGTGAGACGGAGAGACAGACAGACAGTGAGACAGAGAGAGAGACAGACTGAGAGACAGACAGATGGAGAGACAGACAGAGACAGTGAGACAGAACAGTGAACTATTAATATAAACTTTATTCCTGCTGATCATATTTCAGATCATCCCTCAGGTTTTAATCTCATAGTTTTAATCTATTGTTGTTATAATATTATTATTATTATTATTATTATTATTATTATTATTATTATTATTATTATTATTATTATTATTGTTATTATAAACCTGCAGTCTGTCACCTCCAGATGTTTCTATACTTTAGTTTTATTATTGTCAGTTATTGTTGCTTGTTAAAGTAGTTGTGAACAGGAACTGGAACAAACCTTCATTAATAACAATAACAATAATGATAATAATAATAAACTTTAACTGCTGCTTCACATGAAAACACATGAAAATAAAACCTGTTAAAACACCCCCCCCCCCAGTGACTACGGCCTGTCCTACCTGTCTCTGAGGACCAGTATTGGACTGTGGACCGCCTTCCTGTGCCTGCTGCTGGTCGCCACGGACGCCAGCTCTCTGGTCTGCTACATCACCCGCTTCACTGAGGAGGCGTTCGCCGCCCTCATCTGCATCATCTTCATCTATGAGGCTCTGGAGAAGCTGGTCCACCTAGGGGAGCTCTACCCCATCAACATGCACAACCAGCTGGACAACCTGACCTTCTACACGTAAGGCAGCACCACTCCCAGAACCAGAACCAGGGTCTCTTGTTACAGAGCGCCACAGGCCGACAGATGTTTTCATCAAGTTTACATTAAAGTTGTTTCAGAGAAGTTGAAGCTCAGACTTTTACTGTTGCATGATGGTTAAAAACCTGAAACAGTTTGTAACAAACATGAAAGAAGAGATGAAACAGGTGACGGGAGGGGGGAGGGGGGAGTCACTCAGCTGTTTCACACACAGACATTTAGAACTGAAAATGATTCAACAGAAAATTCATCTGAAACTTTTCTAATAATCAACTAATTATTTATTTATTAGTTTATTTTCTGACGATGCAGACGTCATCAAAGTGAGAACTCGTTGCTTCTTTCACATCCGTCATATCCATCCATCCGTCAGTTTTTATTCCTCTGCGCCGGCGACAGTCAGCGGCAGCCATTTTGTTTTCAGGTTGTCCGTCCGACATTTGATCAATTTGACCAAATGACTGATTAATTAGGAATTTTAAAAAGGTGCCAAAAGTACGGTGACAACAGTTCTGTGTATTTGTGAACGTGTGACCGGTCATGTGACTGCTCATGTTGTGCTCTGGTGCAGGTGTCAGTGTTCTCCTCCAGCCAACGTCTCAGCTGAACTCTGGAGCAAGAGAAACTTAACCTCAGGAGACATTGAGTGGGAGCAGCTGAGTGTGAAGGTCTCTCACACACACACGCACACACACACACACACACACACACACACACACACACACACACACACACACACACACACACACAGTTTAAAATCCACTCCAACAGTTTATCATGTCAGTTGATCAGAGCAGCACCTGGTGGAAGTTAGAGGAACTGCAGCTCTGTCTGTAACTGTCTCTCTCTGTCTGTCTCTCTCTCTCTGTCTTTCTCTCTCTGTCTCTCTCTCTGTCTCTCTCTCTGTCGGTCTCTCTCTGTCTAGGACTGTGTGGATTTACACGGGGAGTTCGTCGGCTCGGCCTGCGGCCATAATGGTCCCTATGTCCCTGACGTCCTCTTCTGGTCCGTCATCCTCTTCTTCACCACCTTCTTCCTCTCATCCTTCCTCAAACAGTTCAAGACGAAGAGATACTTCCCCACCAAGGTGTGTGACGCTGTGCGAAGGACGGACAGGTGAACATTCACACCCTCACACACCTATTGATGAGGATGTTTGTGTTCTCAGGTTCGATCGACCATCAGTGACTTCGCCGTCTTCCTGACCATCATGATCATGGTGCTGGTGGATTATCTGGTGGGAGTCCCTTCACCCAAACTCAACGTACCCGACCGCTTCGAGGTGACGGCTGACTCCGCCTCCACTGCATCTGTGTCAGAGTTAAACTGATGATGTCATGTGATGATCAGACTGTGGCTTGTTGAATGAGCAGGTGTTAGCTCAGTGTGCTAACAGGCTAACACCTGCTGTATATTACACAGCAGAGAGTACAGAGGTTACTTTAGGTCAATTCACATGGAAAGATGACGACCTCCAGCTGTGTAACTCCACCTGTACACACCTGAGTCACACCTGTCTGTAATCTGCCTGTCTCTCTGTCTCTCTGTCTCTCTCTCTCAAATCCAAATTCAGATAAGCTTTATTGGCATGACCGATCAGAAACCTTTATTGCCAAAGCAATACAGAAAATTACAAACATTGATAAGATGATCAATGATTATACGTTGTTGGACAGCTGTTACTGCACATACACAGGACAGTTTCTGAAGATCGGGGAGGCAGATAAACTCAGGATATATATGATTTATTTTTCAAAGAAAACTATTTGTCACAATAGGAAGTGAGATTCTCTTTCATGACAAAGTGAACACAGCCTGGCCTCCCCGGGGAGCCTGTTCTGGCTGTGACGGCAGCGACATGATTGGACGACAGATGAAGGAACAGTTGTGTCTCTTTGTCTCCGTCCGTTCAGCCCACGTCCAACACTCGTGGTTGGCTGATCTCCCCACTGGGAACGAACCCCTGGTGGACGCTGCTGGCCGCCGCCGTCCCCGCCCTCCTCTGCACCATCCTCATCTTCATGGACCAACAGATCACAGCCGTCATCGTCAACAGGAAGGAGAACAAACTTAAGGTCAGGACGACGGAGAGTTGGAGGTGACGGGTGTGTCTCTGTCACAGCGGCCGGACGATAAACCCCCCTCCCCGTGTGTTTTTGGTTGCAGAAAGGCTGCGGCTACCACCTGGACCTGCTGGTGGTGGCGGTGATGCTGGGCGTGTGCTCCATCATGGGCCTGCCGTGGTTCGTGGCGGCGACCGTTCTCTCCATCTCCCACGTCAACAGCCTGAAGCTGGAGTCAGAGTGCGCGGCGCCCGGCGAGCAGCCCAAGTTCCTGGGCATCAGAGAGCAGAGAGTCACCGGCTTCATGATCTTCGTCCTGATGGGTTGCTCCGTCTTCATGACCTCCGCCCTCAAGGTGAACGCCACAGATCATTTCCTCCGCTCGTCACTTCCTGTCTTCATACTATTCAGCTCTGGAGACGAGTGAAAACACAAAGTGTAAAATACGTTTGTCGTCCTGTCCTCAGTTCATCCCGATGCCGGTCCTGTACGGAGTCTTCCTCTACATGGGCGTGTCTTCGCTCAAAGGCATTCAGGTCTGTCTCAGCGTCTGTCCCTTTGTTCTGCAGCAGCTTCCTTGCTCTGTCTTTAACCTCGTCCGTCCCTCCGCGTCCCTCTGTGTCCCTGCAGCTGTTCGACAGGATCAAGCTGTTCGGCATGCCGGCCAAACACCAGCCGGACCTCATCTACCTGCGCTACGTCCCGCTGTGGAAGGTCCACGTCTTCACCGTGGTGCAGCTGTCCTGCCTCATCGTCCTCTGGGCCATCAAGGCTTCCGCCGCCGCCGTCATCTTCCCCATGATGGTTGGACAAACGGAGACACAACAGAGACGATATGTTTTATTTTATTATCAATCAGACACAGGGACTGGTCTCTAACTGGACTTGCCGTCCTCTGCAGGTTCTGGCTCTGGTCTTCATCAGGAAGCTTCTGGATTTCTGCTTCACCAAAAGAGAACTGAGCTGGCTGGACGACCTGATCCCAGAGAGCAAGAAGAAGAAGGAGGACGACAAGAAGAAGAAGGAGAAGGAGGTGAGACACTGGAACTGGAGAAATTATGTAGCTCAGCTTCAGAGTCCACTGACACCACAGTGTTTGTGTTTGTTGTTGTTTTTCCCAGGATGCTCAGCGGATGCTGGAGGAAGCGGAGGACGATCCTCCGTACGACAGAGGAGACGTCATCAAGTTCCCCATCAAAAACCTGAAAGGACGGTGAGTCAGTGACGAACACACTGATCCCTGTGAACACTGAGACACTGCAGCTGACAGTAACGTGTGTGTGTGTGTGTGTGTGTGTGCGTGTGTGTGTGTGTGTGTGTGTGTGTGTGTGTGCGTGCAGCGTGGACCCATCAGAGGTGAACATCTCAGATGAAATGGCCAAAAGCGGGATTTGGAAATCAGTCTCCATGAACTCTGACAGCAGCAAAGCTCTGAGACGCTGCAACAGGTAAAATGATGCAGGTGAACAGTGACGTGATCAGCTGAGGATCATGGGATTGTTCACGAATCACACCACACTGCTGTAAACGGCCACCTCCAGTAACAACATAGAAAACATCTGGTAAAACATCTGGTAATCCCCTGACACCTCCCTCTAACACCATGAAGTCATGATTCCCTCCCACGCTGAACCACCCAACCCCTCTAGATCCACCTGTCAACCATCAGAACCAGAGCAAACACCTAGTCACCCCCTAAACTAACTTCATGAACCACCTCTAATAATCCATTACCAACCACTAACACCCCAACAACCACTGATCAACACCATTAATACCTTCATCAACCACGAACCATGCGGCACTGTATTACCAACCATCCCACACACCTCAAGAACCACTGATGGCACATTCTGGGGGGTTGCTCAGGTGCTCATGGTGGTTGCTAGGGGGTTACTAGGTAACCACCACTAACCTTTAACAATACCATAGTAACCATCTTGTAACCCTGTAGTAATGCAGAACCAAATTCACCCATCCAACCATATCTGTACAAAAGTGTACAAAACCACATGGTAACACCATAGTAACTACACTGTAGAAATGAAACGCCTGAAACACATCGCTAAGCGACCCAAACACCTTAGCAATGACTATCTACACCTAAGCAACCATTACTACCCTAGCAACCACTTGGCAACCACCTTCAACACCCTAGAAAACACATAGTAATGCATTTATCAAACAGCTTAACAGTCACCAAGCAACAACTTGCAACCATCAACACAGTAGTAATCATCTACTAACCCCCAAGCAACCGCCTTCAACACCCTAGCAACCTAGAAGTTATCCACCCCAAACAACTTTATAATCCCCAGGCAACGCTTCAGGTAAATTTAATACCAGGGCAATTACCTAGTAACCCCCTAGCAACCACCTTGAGCTCCTGAGCTTCCCCCCAGAATGTGCCGTCAGTGGTTGTTAGGGTGTTAGTGGTTGTTGTGGGAGGTATCAGGGGATTACCAGATGTTTGCTGGGATTCAGGGTTGTTAGGAAACAGCAGTGATCAATGAATCTTTGTTTAAGAATGATAAAAACCAAATGTGATGATCAGTATTTCAGACTGATCAATAACCTCAGGAAGTCTCAGCCTAATGATGGTGAGGTCGTTGTTTTCCAGCCTGGAGAAGCTGCAGAGCGTCCAGATAAACGTGGAGAACGAGGATGGTCAGAGAGTCGTGGACGCTGAGACGTCTCTATGATCGAGGCGGCGTGTGCTGGGGGGGGGGGGCTGCTGTTACTGATGGGACCCTGCAGTCCTTCGTCTTCTGAACTGAGGTGAAAGGTCATTAGAGGACCAATCAGGCTTCACCTTGTCATGCTGTACTTCTTATCCTGCGTTTCCTCGGACGAAGGTGACATTTTATTTTCTCATCGTTTTATGGTGAAACACGGAGACTCCGCCGCTGGGAGCAAATATGGCCGCCACTTATGGAAACAGCTTCCTCAGGTTTCTTTGGTTGGTTTTTAACTGGACGGTTCACTGCTGCGCTGTGATTGGCTGCTTAAGCACAGACTCAATGGACGCCTGATTTTTCCAGACTGATCTGAAAACACCTGAAACTTAATTTCAGTTTTAAATTTTCTGTTTCTGCTTTGATGAAGCAGACGGACTCTTCACCTCCAACAGTTTTTATTTAATCATCATGCTGATTTCACTTGTACGTGTCAGTGAGTATGAGTGTTTTATATATATGTGTGTGTATGTGTGTGTGTGTGTGTGTATGTGTGATCACTGTTGTACCTCACCTTGTTGCCTGCAGCGGCCGACTGGATGACGTCACAGTCGCTGTCAGTTTCTTGGTAAAGCTTAAATAAAATCAGTTTGGTGACGACGATCAGAGTCTCAGATCTTTAACTTTAACAAACAGTGAAACGTTTCAGTCCTCTGACCTCTGACCTCTGACCTCAGGGTCATTAAAGGCTTGAAGAACAGACCAGGAGAACTGCTCAGTTCAACTTCTTCTCATTTTAACTGGGAGGTAAAAGGTGATTTGGACGGTTTTTATACTTTGGGTCATGACTGTCAACAGAACATGTCGCCATTCGATCTGTGATCAGGTTCAAACTGTGAGGGACGCTCAGAGGGAGACAGGTGAGGCAGAGACGCTGTGTGAAGGGAAGGGACAGGTGATCTAAAAACAGGAAGTCAGTCGTCAGCAGCAGCAGCAGCGACACACATCACACCCTCATGAAGGACATTTTCAGACTCTTTGTCTCCGATGTCCGTCACTAGAAAACGTCCCGTTCCTTCTACCTGCACAACTTCATTCACAACCCAGTGACAGAGGTCTGAACATCAGGATAATATATATAATATATATACAATAATTCATTTTCCACAAATGAACAAATACTGGTGAAAGTAAAACAGTAAAACTCTGTTTATATGAGTGAAGACTTTTAATGTGAAATGATACAAAAGAAACTTTTAATGAACTTTTGTTTGATTGTTTTAATTCATTCATTCATTTAAATTTCTATTTAATTTAAAGTCATTTTAAACAGTGGAGATGTTGTTCCCCTCTATGCTAAGCTATGCTAAGCTAACCAGCTGCTGGCTGTAGTTTCATATTCACTCTGCAAGGCGAGAATAAGTGGAAGACTTCCTTTCGACATTTGTCACAAACTTGACTTTATTTACAAAATGAAAAACCAGGAACATTAATAAGTTTTTTTATTTTATTTCAGAAATCTGCATGAAGCCAAAACTGAAACTTATCAACTGAATCAAACCAGTAAATTACATGTAGCAAGATAAAATAGAAAAGCTCATGATCATAAGTTACTGTTGTTTATAAATATTAGCAATAATAATTCACTTGGATAAAAAGTTCTGAAGTCAGAACACAGACCCAGAACAAAACACGTATAGATCAGGTGATGGAAGCTGATCCTGGACCTGGAGACCTGATCCTGGACCAGATCTGATCCTGGACCAGACCTGATCCTGGACCAGACCTGATCCTGGACCAGACCTGAGCCTGGACGAGACCTGATCCTGGACGAGACCTGATCCTGGACCAGACCTGATCCTGGACCAGATCTGAGCCTGGACCAGACCTGAGCCTGGACCAGACCTGATCCTGGACCTGTTACAGCGCAGTGAACATGAGCATCATCAGCAGCATCAGAGTGACAGACACTGAAGCTCTGCGAGATCCACCTGTAAACAACAGAGACACAGTTCACGGTCAACACTGAAGTACACATGAAAGTACACATGAAGTACACGTGAAGTACTCTGAGTCATGAAGTACACATGAAGTACACGTGAAGTACTCAGAGAATCGAAACGTGTTCACATGATCAAAGATAAATAAACTACTACACACTGATTATAATTAAAAGTTTAAAACGATCTCCGTCCTTCCAGCTGTGACCTCTGCTTTCTGAACTCTACACTGTTCTCACCTTTGACTGAAGGTAACTCACTACATTTAATTAAGTGCAGTACTTCAGTGCAGTTTTGAAGTACTTGTAGTTTACTTGACTGTTTTGTTCCATGACATGTAATACTTTTTACTCGCTTCATTTCACAGCTGCAGTTACAGGTTGAGATTTTAGAATATGATGCTTGTTGTGGGTGAAATGAACAGAAACTAAACAGCTGCAGCTTCTCAGATGTGACGATTTCCTGCTTCATTAATTTAAATGTTTTTAATCATGTTGATGTTCGGACCAATCAAGTGTTGTGAAGGTTTCTACAGTAAAGGATCTGAATTCTTCTTCAGTGGTTTTGGATCTTTTCTTACGTCTGGACAGAATCTGGAATTTGACTCAGTTTAGTTTTCAACAGACTGACTTCCACACATGCCACCCACCCCACCCCACCCCACCCTCACCACCCCACCCACCACCACCACCATGGTGAGTCCGTGCTCACCGCCGTGCAGCAGCATCTCCTCGGTCACGCTCAGTGAGCCGTTGTGCGGCGCCGGGTTGATCTGCAGCAGTTTACACATCAGAGGGTAGATGTGGACGCTGTCGAACGGCTCAGACAGGAAGTTCCTCCTGAAGGCGGGACCGAAGGCCCTGAAGATGGTCTTCATGTCCATCTCTCCGTTGTGGAAGCCGTGGTCTCCTTTGTTGACGTAGACGATGAATCTCTGGTGGGAAACAAAGAGATGAAGAAGCAGAGTTACAGGATGAGAGCGTTTGACAGGATCACATCACTTACTTCTTCTTCTCTTCTATAAATGATGATGTGGATCTAAAGTGAAGTCAGAACAGACATTGAGAAAACACTGATTTCTCAGTTCCACCTTAAATTCACCCAAAGTTTCAGTTGTAAACTGAAGTTTTAAGGAGGCGGAGTCTAACAACTATGATTAATGATTATAACCATATAGAGGGAAAACTGATTAGATTAGAATAGAATGGATGTGCTATAGTGCTAATCTGGATTTTTGAATTCTTTGTTCGGAGTTGGGACTTGGCTTTTGTTAGATCAGGTGTTGGTGGCCGAGGGGTCGCGTGGATCATGGTTCAAGAAATATTCTTTAAAGGAGAATCACACGGCGTCGAGTGGCGCAGTGGGTTGAGCAGGCGCCCCATATGTAGAGGCTACAGTCCTCGCTGCAGTTGGCCCCGGTTCGAATCCCGCATCGGACGGCCCTTTACTGCATGTGATTTCCCCTCTCTCTGCCTCCCCATTTCCTGTGTCTCTCTAATGTGCTATCCAATAAAGGCATAAAAAGCCCAAAAAATATACTTTAAAGGAGAATCACGGTGAAAGGTGAAACTCACAGAGTTCAGGTTGAATCCCAGATCTGCCACGACCACGATCGGAGGCAGCCGCTCACTTTTGGCGAGATGGAAGCTCTCTGGAATCTGGTTCTTCTTGTAGACCGTCAGATTGGGTGCGTTGGACAGAGCCTCGAAAACCTCCTTTTCCCTCCCCGGCCGTGGCGTCAGGATGCCGAACCCGCCGTAGTCCAGGATCTCGAAGCTGGCGAGCTTGATTAAATTCAGGTACTTGTTGAGGATGATCTCGTCCACCTGCGGCCGCTTCTTGATGGTGGTCATGCCGTGGTCGGAGGTGATGATGACGTTCAGGCTGTCGGTCAGGTTATGCAGATCGATGGCCTCCCTCAGGTAGCCGATGGTACGGTCGATCTGCCGGATGATCGTCTTCCTGTCCGGGTGGTCCGGGCCCTTGGCGTGGCCCACGTGGTCCGGCTCGCCGTAGTACAGCGTCACCAGGTTGAAGTCTTCCTTGGAGAACCAGTTCATCACCGTGTCGATGTTCTGATGCCACTCTGTCTCGTTGTCGTCCGGGTGGTTGAAGGGCTCCACCATCACCCGGTTCACCGCCTGACCGCTGTAATTGGCACCACCTCCGGGGAAGTGGAAGGAAGCAGTTTTCAGACCCTGAAACAACAAGAAACACAAAGAACCAGAGATCAGTTTGTTTCTGTCCGTGGTTCACACGAGGTCTGACATGGTTTATAAATCATCCAGGATTTAGCTTTGGTTCCTGAAGAGAGAAAACCTCATTTAAAGCTCCATATTTTACTTTTATTTAAAGTGTTGATCCATAAGAAAATATATTTGTGGTTTTAAGAACCAAAAAAACAGCTCAGTGTAGTTTTACATCTCCTCTCTCGGGCTTCTCTCCAAACCTCAAACATGAAGCATCAACACTGAAGAACCAGAAGAAGAAACAGACGCTGCAGTCCTGCAAATCCTGCAAGGTTTGGATGGTGGGTCCAGGTGGGCGGGGCTTGGTGACTGCTTTGTTTTAAGACGGCTGGTTTTAAGGCTCAGTTTCTGAATACAGGCTGTGTGCATTTCTCTGTGGACTGAGGCTTTGATACTTTCACAGTGTTAATATAGAAGCTAGACCTGATCTATAATCACACTACACATGGACAGAGACCTTTACACTGGAGGAGCTTTAACACTCCTACAGTGATAAGTACAGGTCTCTGTTCGCGCCATAAATTGATCTAAGGACAGCATCCTTTAAAAAAACAACCTAATATTATTTGTTCCATATTAATGTTTTAGCAGCATTTAACAAACATCATTTCCCATGAACCTTAATCGTCACAAAGATTGATCAATGAGTGATCCAAGTTTAGTTAGTTCATGCGTCTGTAATAACAGCAGCACAGCTGACAGTGCTGCAAAGTAACGTAGTACATTTTACTCAAGTACTGCCCTTCAATACAAATTTAAGGGACTCTTTAAAAAATAAAATGACGTGTGACCTATTAAAAATTGAGATGAACTAAATCAAGCAGACTCACCTGGTTCTGAGCTGTGATCCATAACGGCAGGACTCCGTTGTCCCACCACTCTGATCTGGTCAGAGTCTGTTTGTGAGGAACTTTCAGGTTGGTCTTGGTGTTGAACATCATGTTGTGGACGACTTCGTGATCCTCCACCCATCTGCCTGACGCACAGGAAACAACACTTCATTTCAAAGTAAGACTCATAAGCTTTTCAGTGACACCCAATGAAAACCTCAAGATGAACAGAAAAAGATCTGCAACACTAAACAATGACAACAACAGAAAGTTCATTCACATTGTTTCCATCACTTATCTTGTTGGAGTCATTTTGAGTCTTTAGTTTTAAGATATGTCAGTTACTCCATTAGAAAGATTAGGGGGGGGCTGTACCATGTCTTAACCTTGATGTTAGCTGAATGTCTGATCTGCTGCCTCACTCTATCGATGACCCACGACCTCGTCTCTGTTCCTGTGTCGCTCAGACTCTGTAGCTTAACGTGAGTAGCAGTAGCTAATTAGCTTTTTTAAAACACACTTTCTTACCTTCAGAGTTTCTGAATAGTATCTACGGATGAATGCTAATGTTAGCCAGTTTTCTAACTTTAGCTGTAAGTTATAGTTTAGATAACTAATGCTACCCAGTTCCTAAACTTCTTCAGAGTTTATGATTTCATGTTAATAGTCTTTGTGTGTCTGTGGAGGTTTAGTTAGTTAGTCCTGGTAGCCTTTTACCTCTTTGATATCAGCTTTAATAATAGACACACACTTTACCATTTTCATTTGTGCTACTTTATCTTTCCACTCCTACATTTCAGAGGGAAGTGAAGGAGCAAACATCTCAGAGGGAGCTTGTATTTCAGTTTGTGTTTAGCACCATTTCACAAAACCGTTTCCTCCCAACCTCCACATCTGAGGACTGATGGATGGTTGACGTCATGTTCTGACAGACGTTTGGCTCTTTTTCCCTTTTTTCTCATGTTCAACACTTTGGTCTAAATTATTCTGCAGTTACTTTGCTTCTGTTCTTTGGTTGTGAATTGGAAAACACTCTTCGCTTCTTGTGTCCCCAGATCTATGATAGAACAGGTTCTAGATGGTGTAGTATCATAATTACACCATGTATTAAAGTGTGTTACAAGTCTGCCCCCACTCGCAAGGACACCAGTCAGTTCCCTGACTACAGAGGGTGCACTTTGTACCAAGACCTGTTGTTAGTTCATGTATTATGATCTACCTCCACCTGTGAGGGTGGATGTATTCTATGCAAAGTCCCAAACACATTCTGCATTGTAATTTACAACATATATCATCACCTGGAATAACTCTGTTATTGTACAGTACATTGTATTATTCAACATTTTTATTGTTTAGTTTATGAGTTTAGCTTCTTTTTATGACTTGGCAGCCAGAAGCAAATAATCCCCATAAAGATTTGAATATTAATGACTGATACTACTGGGAATCCTGTTGGGGATTAGTCTGGTTTACTGGAATGAACTCGTCTGGTAACTGTTGTTGTATAAACTGAACTGGACTTTTCTCTCAGATAAATTTCTAATTGTTTCTGTTTGGTTGAGTTTGTTTAAATTGAGTGATTTTCTTTCATGACCTTTAATATTTTTATTTTGAGAGAAACGAACCAGGAGTTATGTGACTGAGAACATCGACCTTTTGCAGGGTTTGAGCCTATAATTCAGACGTATTGATCCGGGCTGATCAAAACCACTACAACACAAATGAAATCCTAAATGTGAAATGTAATCACCTATGAATTTTTTACTGTTGAAAACTGTCTATACTTCATGTGTTCTTCAGTAGGGGAGGCCTCTTTGAAATGTCCAATAGTTAGTTTTGCAATTTCAATTTTTTTTTAGTTTTATGAAATGAATGTTTATAAAAATCCAAATGTTCAATTTCAAAAATTCAAGTCAAATATTTAATATTTCAGTGTTTAACTTTTAGTCAATCAGGAACTCACAGTTCAAATCTTTATGGCCATTATGGGATTAATAACATACTATAAGTACTACTACTACTACTACTACTACTACTACTACTTCTACTATTACCTGTTGCTGTGCTAATGTAGTATCAGCATCAGTGATGGAAAGTGACTCAGTACTTCTATGCTGCTGTACGTCAGAGGGAATGTTGTACTTTTACTGTTGACATTACGAGTTACTTTAGAAATTTAGATTTACATTTAAATGAACGTGAACTTTTACATTTACTTTTTATTCGGCAGATTTTTCTCCACAGCATCTTACAAGTGAGGGAGAAAACATTCACGGCTGCAGCTTCTCAGGAGTGACGATTTGTTTCTTCTCCTTTTAATAACGTGAATTATTTTGAATTTTGGTTTCACTTCCACCTGCAGCATCATCAGATGATCGATTGAGAAAATGATCAGTCCGACGTCAAACACTGACAATTGGCTGGACGCGTCCAGCTGCAGCAGTAAAATGCTGCTCACACTTGATGCACTTGAATGCATCAGTGATGATAATCTGATGAATGATGGTGAATATGACAGTGAAACATTTCTCTGCTCTGAACACTTGTCACGTACTTGGTTTAAATACTTGAACTAAAGTAAAAGATCTGAGTATTTTTCCACTTGATGTTTCACGTCATGTTATTAAAGAGAAGGTGATTTGAATTGTAGAGCAGGTGTGTCTTCAGTGATAATGATAATGATAATTATCATAATAATTATAATAATAACAATAATACAGTTCAGTGTTACCAGTGATGGTGGTGAAGTGGGAGGGGGAGGTCATGGTCAGCATTGGGGGGGTGATGTATTTGGCCTTGACCCCGTCCACAGCGAGCTGGTCCAGGTTCGGCGTGTCCACGTCCTGGTCGTAGTCCCACCTGAAGCCATCGAAGGAGATCAGCAGCAGCTTGTTCCCGGCCGCTGTCTTGCTCAGCGGCTTGCCGGCAGCACTGATCACCGCCGTGAGGACGAGGAAGAGCTCCAGCCTCATCTTCATCTTCGCACTGACTGACTGACTGTACCTGAGCAGCACACCTGTAGCTCCAGGTTAATATGTAAATGTGATAGAGATCTGCTGATGTGCTGCTGTGAAGGACGAGACCTTCGACTCAACACTTGTATCAGGTTCTTATCAGGGGAAGTCATTGATCACCATCAGTGATCTGTGGACCTGGCAGTCGGACTCAGTCCAGACTTTTACTGTGACAGTCAGAAACAAACTGGACAAAGGATTCACATCTTTACTGAGGAAACAGCTCCACAGTTTAAACGTCCAAACTATCACCAACATGTATTTACAGTTACAGTTCTGCAGTAAAACGACCTTTGACAGATTATTGATACAGCATCCAATCATTATCAGATCATTGATCCTGAGTCATTTTACTGTCGGAGCTGCTGTAACTACTCCACTGGTTCCCAACCTGGGGGTCGGTCCCGCCAGAGGGTCATCAGATCAATCTGAGGGGTCATCAAATGATTCATGGGAGAAAAACGCTCATTCACTGATCTGGATTCAGTTTTTAGACTTTTCTTCAGTCTGTGATTATTTATTGATGTTGAAGTGAAACCATGTTAAGTCGATCAGAGGTGATCTGATCACAGACCCCTGACGTGTGACAGGGCCAAAAGCCAAAAAGGTTGAAACCTCTGGTTTAAGGTTGGAACAGTGAACTTTATAAGCTCATGTTTGTTTCATGTAAAAACTTTCTTGAAAAGTTCAAGCTTTTCAAATAAATGGAGTGCAGTAAAAAGTACAATTTTCCCGATGTCATGTGGTTTGGGAATATGAAGTACCAGAAAAAAATACTCTTGTAAAGTAAATGTACTGCATTACTTTATGTTTCTGAACACACAGGAGTCGGTTTGAAGTTTATTGCATCGTCATGCAACTACAGGTCAAATAAAATTAATTCAATTAAAAGCTCAAGGTTAATTCACCAACAGTTTCAAGGACGTTCAACCACATGTCCTGGTTATCAGCGTGTGCTGTGTAACTCAAGGACACAGGGTTTCTCATCATGTGGCTGGAACATCAGAGAACCTGCAGGGGACATCCTGAGAGACTAAGCACAGTACAATGTTTTCAACAAGTTATTTTATGATATAATTTTCTACAGAATAATTCAGACTAGAGAGAATTGAAAGCAGCAGATTTTCAGTCTGATTTAAACCTGAACAAACACAAATTTCAAAACAATTTGCTGAAGTAAATTCAGAGAAATGTTGGAGGAAACTGGAACGAAGGCAAGATTTGTTGTAAAATAAAGTCCTTCAAAAAAGTATGTTTTGGAAATACAAAAGATTTTTCAAATAAATTTACTTGCAATAATTCCAATAAATAAATTGTTCACTCAAAATAAAAGTCAATGTCAAATCACACTAATTTGTGATTCACATTATTCATGCTCTTTATCAGTTTGTGAGCATGAACGTAGCCTCAAACATCGAATGTTGACATTTCCTGTGTTTATTCATTGCTACTATTTTGTGAGCAGTTTAATAATTTGAGGGCACAAATGATGAATTTATGCGCACGGATTATTTTTTTTCTCTATGACACCTGCGAGTCTCCATAGGTCCAATGTATAGTGAAAGTCAAATAATGAAAATATTTGAATTGCTGTAAGATATGAATAAAGATAAAAAAATAAATTACAATAATATAAGAGAACACTGTGAAGTAAGTGTGGGAAGAGATACTACTTTTTAATTTCACTTTGTTTTATTACATTTTTACTGTTGATACGTCTTTTAATTAGATTGTAGTAAAATTGCTGATTTTTAAATTCTTCAAATGAGGTTTTAATGTTTATATAATTTATGTTTCTGTAAATATCTGGCTGGTCAAACAATTTAAAAAGTGTTTGATTCAAAATCTGCTTTAAAATGTGCTAGTATTACTTTAAATAAATGCCCGTCTCTTATTTTGGTGGGAGGAAATCCGGAACTACTTTTACATTGATGGAATAACATCCGGGTGACAGGGGTTAACGTCGTTCACGTTGAGATGTTGAGTCTCTGGTTGGTTTTTAATTAAAATGCGATAAAACAGCTTCAGGTTCGGCGGTTTAATTTCTGTTTTTTTCTGAATATCCTCGGAGACTCTGCCGGTGTCGGTCCGGTGTCGGTCCGGGACTTTGAGCAGGTCTGTGGATAAAATCACACGTAACCTCTGGTGTGTCCTGGTAGTTAGCTCACGTTAGCCACTAGCCAGGTTGTATGGAAGTACAAGCACAAGTTAGCATTAGCACGTAGACTGAGTGAATGTGTTCTTTTAACTTCATGTTCAACACTTTGGTCTAAATTATTCTGCAGTTACTTTGCTTCTGTTCTTTGGTTGTGAATTGGAAAACACTCTTCGCTTCTTGTGTCCCCAGATCTATGATAGAACAGGTTCTAGATGGTGTAGTATCATAATTACACCATGTATTAAAGTGTGTTACAAGTCTGCCCCCACTCGCAAGGACACCAGTCAGTTCCCTGACTACAGAGGGTGCACTTTGTACCAAGACCTGTTGTTAGTTCATGTATTATGATCTACCTCCACCTGTGAGGGTGGATGTATTCTATGCAAAGTCCCAAACACATTCTGCATTGTAATTTACAACATATATCATCACCTGGAACACATTACTGGCCTCTGTTATTGTACAGTACATTGTATTATTCAACATTTTTATTGTTTAGTTTATGAGTTTAGCTTCTTTTTATGACTTGGCAGCCAGAAGCAAATAATCCCCATAAAGATTTGAATATTAATGACTGATACTACTGGGAATCCTGTTGGGGATTAGTCTGGTTTACTGGAATGAACTCGTCTGGTAACTGTTGTTGTATAAACTGAACTGGACTTCTAATACTTCTAATGACATCGCTCAGCTGTCAGTGGGAATATAACTGCGTCTGCGATGGTCTTTGTGGGTTTGTAATTGGTCTGTTCTCATGTTCTCTCCTCTGGGCTGTTTCAGGATGATAATGTCTTCATTATGGAGCCTGAGGCCAGTGCTGACGTCACTGTATCAAGGTAAGTTTACACACCTGTTCACTGTCAGAGAGTCCGCTGTCGGGTGCAGAATTCAGCAGAGCTGAGTTTGTACTAACAGCAAACAGCAGCAGCAGTAAATGGACAAACAGGAAGAGACCAGAGAACAGGGACTGACTGAATAACGTTAAATAATTGTCTGTTTCCCATAAATAAAGTTCTGCTGTCTATCTCACAATCTATGGTGTCAAACAGTGAATCTAATAGAGATGCATATTTTTATTTTGTAACCTTTATATGAAAACCTCTTTTCTTTAAATTTTCAACGGTTAAATGACTTTCCTTCTCTGCAGCCTCCCAGCATGCCTCTGCCTGGACAGGCCCCCTCCTCTCCAGGACCATGGCCACCCTCAACCAGATGCACCGGCAGGGGAAGCCCAAACCATCTCCTAAATCTGTTGGTGCAACGTTCAGCCGCCCCCAGCTGAAAGCGGTGATCCTGAAGACCATGATCCGAAAGCCCAAGAAGCCCAACTCTGCGAACAGAAAGTGCGCTCGGGTGCGGCTGTCTAACGGGAAGGAGGCGGTGGTGTTCATCCCCGGGGAGGGACACAACCTGCAGGAGCACAACGTGGTGCTGGTGCAGGGCGGGAGGACGCAAGACCTGCCCGGAGTCAAACTCACCGTGGTCAGAGGCAAATATGACTGTGCTCACGTGGTGAAGAAGAAACATTAGAGTGAGAGACGGACGCTGGTGTGATGGAAATGTTTCAGTGTCACAGCTGGTTAATAAATATGTGTGCTCTTCAAATACACCATCATCTGGGTGACTGTCTCAACGGGGAGGTCAGGCTTTTACAAGAGGAAGGTGAAGACGTCAGATACACTGCATGGCCAAAAATATGTGGACACACGGATCACAGCCACATATGACCGTGTAACATCAGATTCAGAATCTGGTTTATTGCCAAATGGGTTTTCAACAAACCAGGAATTTGCTTTGGTGTTTTGGTTCATATCAATAAACGAAATAAAAAATAAAGAAAAGAAACATAAACAAAGGTAAAACAAGCAAGTAGTGCAGGTCAGATATCTGAAATTTAACAATAAGAAAGTATTTACAATAAAAATGTGAAAAAATATAGAAAAATATAAATATATACAAATTCTGACATGATTGTGACTCCATGTTCGTCAGATGGTGAAACCTGTTGCAGCGATTTGCTCCCATTCTCTGGTGTTGGGTGATAGAGATTCATACGGGACTTATCATATCGCATGGAAATGGATGAAAAGCCAATTATATAGACTCCTCCTGTCAGCCAAAGCCAAATGTACTTGATATAGTGTTATGTTATTAATGCACGTGTTTTTTACCAGTCTGCAGTGTGTTCAGCAGATTAATCAGAGTAACAGACACTGTTTGTAGTCACTGCTAAATGACATGAACTAAATTCCAGTCACCTCCATATTATGAGGTTGGAGGCAGAATGTCAAGACAGATATCAGTATCTCAAAACCTGGAATAATAAAACCAAAACTATTTACATGGACAGATGTAGAGTAATATGATTTAGTTTGAGTGAACTTGCCCTTTAAACCTTGAAAATTCCTTATTTGGTGAAAAAAGACACAAATGTCTGAGAGAGCTCAAACCTGCACAGATCTTAAACATGAAGTGATTCTCCTCCCAACATGATCAATGTTATCTGACAGCTGACCATAGAGACGGACTGAGAAAATGAGTGGGACCCTGCTGGAAATCAAACCAGGGAGGTTGCTACTACCTGGTATCTATGTTAGAGAGATGCACGGAGTGAATATGGAAGACAGCTTTGATTCATGTTAGTTACAATAACACTGATATATTTTTGTGGTGGTAAAAGTAAAAGGAGATAAATTGCCAAATCTGGTGCTTCACAAAAGTATTTGCATCAGAACTTTTCCAAAATATTCACAAATGTACAGTAGGAAACTAAAATAAATACAAGTAAATCCTAATAAATATCACCCTGTAACATCTGATTATAATCATTGATTTGAATCTTAAATTCTTACAACAGCAGTTCTTTAATTTAAGCCTGAATGAGACGTGACAGTTTATAACTTGTTAATCTGTCAATTACACTTCAAGTCTTATGGTGCAACACAAAATATACATTTGTCTGTATGACTCATTTTTAGCAGAATGAGTGTCAACATGAGCTGCTGTAGCTCCATCAAGGGAAAATCACATCTTTAAAACTAAAACAACCAGTTTTATGAATTTGTTCTATTTTAAAATAAATAAAATACTCAAAAGAAAAATGTTCCCTCGCTCTTAGACCAGTACTGAAAAAAACCCACTTTGCTCACCTGAATCCTGCTCAGTAGCTGCTTCAGTGTTGTTGCAGTACATCTTCTAGCCGGCGGTGGCAGCACTGAGCGAGGAAAACATGTCCGCCATCTTTGATTCTATGGTTTGATTTCACCGGGACTGTACCGGCACTTTATCGGAGTAAGTTGTGTTTTCGCTCATTTAACTGCGCCTGACATCAACGTGAGTTCACCCGACAGGCCGTTCAGAAGTTCTTCTTTTATTCCCGTGGGTTAATATTTGTAACAGCGGCCTGATTCGAAAGGTAATTAGTAGTAAACGACAGAGGTGGTGTCTACGCCGGGGCAGCTGTTCGGGACCGCGGTAAGGACACTGACGCCTGCAGCGGAGCTAGCAAACATTAGCCGTTAGTCATTATGGTAAACCAAAGTCAAAACTGTCATCTGGTTCAGGGGGATTTTCAGGCTTAGGAGCTGGAAAGTTCTTGGGACGTTTTCGGAGTCTTGGTTTGCTTCCTCTCTACAGAAAACAACCGTCGGTAACGGTACGTGTTTATAAGTGTTTCGGTGAATGTTGATGCTTTAGCTCAGGGTTAACTGCTAACCGTTAGCTTCTCTGACTGGAAAGATCCATTCACAAAACACACAGTCATCCCAGCTAAAGTACATTAATTTAACACCATGTGTTCATTAAAGGGTTCATTAAAGTATAATGCAGCAAGGGGCAGACGAGCTAAGACACAGCTAGAGCTGCATCTAATGATTTTTTTTCATTATCCATTAATCTACTGAAATAATCTCGATTAATCTATTTGTGGTTTTGTGCAGAAAATAGTGAAACATGTCGGTCATAATTTCCAACACTTCAAATATCTTTTTTTGTGTAATCGGCAGTCTGAAACCTGAAAGATAACGTTAACAGTCAAGTATTTAAAAAGCAAAAGTTTGGTATTTTCTCTTTTAAAAAATAATAAAAATGTTAGTCGACTAATCGCTGCAGTTTTAAACAGCTGTGAGAAGATAGTGATTAACAGTCAAAGCTCAATTACAGTCACACAGAACGGAACTTAAACATCTTAAAGCTGCTGTTAAATGTAAACTGTATGTAGTAAATATATCCTGTGTGTTTACCTGAGGCCTTTTGTTCTGGGTCTGTTTGTCCTGCTTTGGTTCAGGCTCCTTAGTTTAAATGAAGTGAAATCTTATATTGTATAATATTTTTGATAAAATAAAAATAAAGTTTCTATAAAAAAAAGGAAACTTTACATGTGCAGCACCTTTCAACAACAAGGTAATGTTAAAGTGCTTTACACCAGACATGAAGAGCGTTAAGAAAAGAAACACAAGGCAGTGTAGAAATATAGAAATACACATTTTAATAAGGTTCAAATGAGAAAAAAATATAAAAGATTAAATATGAGAAAAAATCATAAGACAGAATAAAAATGACAGTGACGGTGCAGTGCAAGAATGATGATTAAGACAATGGCAAAAGGAAAAGTCTCAAGCCTTGATTTAAATGAACTGCGTTATAGCAGATCTGAAGTTTTCTGGGAGTTTCTTCAGAGACCCGAACAGCTGACCTGTCCCAGACTACCTGAGAGCTCTATGGCTCAGAACGGAGCAGGAGATATAAACCATTGAGTGATTTGTTAACCAACAGATGTGTTTTAAAGTCAGTCCATCAAAACACAAAGCCAGTGTGAAATCTGAGAACTGATGTGGTCTCTTCTTGAATCTAAACCAGGTTTTAAAAAGCTTAGCTGCAGGAATTGAAGGTTTACGGAGGCAGGCAAATTTAGGAGGGTCTAAAATAAAGAGAGTTGCAATCAAGTTTGTTCATGAGGGAGAGAAAGTTGGTACGACAGCAAGGAGGCAAGGCAGCTTAGAGGATGCTTGTGATTGGGAAATGCAGGTAGATTTAGGAGGAAAGCTTGTTGTTCCCCAGGAAATAGCCAGTACAAAGCTAAGGCCTGACATAGTCTTGTGGTCAGGTATGTAGAGTTAGGGGCAGAAGCAGAGCAGCGAGGATGGAAAGTTAGGATTTGTCCAGTGGAAGTAGGATGTAGAGGATTTGTAGCAAGGTCTGTTGTTGTGAGGGAGTTAGGAGGAAGTGGACAGTGTGTGAGGAAAATAGTAAAGGACATGTCAGATGAGGCAGCAAGATCCAGTCAGTGGATTTGGATGAGAAGAAATAATGGTAGCTGGGGGCCCAGCAAGGAGCACTTAGGATAGACAGACTCTTAGGAGAAGCAAGGAAGAAATCCAGGAAGAGAAAGTGTTTTTAAGTGGGGGGTGTGGCCTGTGTGACCTTTGGGACCATGTGGTTAGTCCAGGTGAGTTGGCCTGTATTGTTTGTTTGTATTGCTTTGAATTGGTTTGTAGTGTGTCTTTGACTGTTTAGGTGAGTTTGTTTGTTTTAGGTGAGTTGTATCGTCTTGGAGAGTGGGGGAGTAGGGGGAGGTAGAGCACAGCCTAATCCGGCGGGGGAGAGTTTAGCTTAACAAGGCATCTTTCACTGACTCTATCTCCCTCATTCAAAATGGCCGCCACTTTCCAAAAAAAAAAAAAAATCTAGTCCAACAGAACAGAACTGTTTAGGGGAGTTTTTGTTTGCTGAATCTGCTGGTGTGTTTTGTCCGAGTTGATGATAGTGTTGTTTGTGGTGGCATAGGCAAGATAAAGGAGAAAATAGTTGTGGTGTGAGGAGCAGTGATGGCTGGCATTAGGGGAGTGACTCTGGGACGCCAGTGGAGGTGTCGTGGGACCAACTAGACGAAACACTGGTGAAAGGAGGTTCCCACCTGATGACCCCAAAGACATGTTAGTTATCACTGCTCATTAGTCTGTATAGCTAAATTAACAGTTATCATAGGACTTAGGATGTTAAGCTTAGGGAGCTATTCACTGAGTCTGGTCCATTTTCTGTAGCACAAGTTTCTTGTGTTTACCTTAAATTTTGTTCAACTCAAGGAAATTTTATTTATAGCTTTATGGGACACCATAGTCATCCCCTGTTGATATCATTCATATATATTTTGTTGTTTTCTTTTGTCTGAGTAGCATGGAGAAGATGACTGGTCGACTGTCAAGAGTGAAACTTTGCTGCTGTTTGAGTTTAAGTGGATGTAATTCAGGATCTTGACGAGCAGTTTCTGTGCTGGGGGATACTGGAAGTTCTGACTGGAAGTTCTCACTGGAAAACATCAAACCCAGAGCATCAAAGCCAGAGCCAGCGCCATAAAGAAATGGTTTTCCCAGGTTTGGACGTATTTGACTCATGCTAATTAATTCTGGTTTCTAATGGTTTCTCTTCCAGAGCCTTGAGGAGTCCACTGTCAGGAGCAGAGGATGAGGAGATGAATGGAGTGACAGTGGAAGCAGAAGAAAGAGGAGAGGACTATCAGCAGCTTCCTGCTCAAGGTCAGAGGTCAACTCTTACACTTTTTATCAATAAATGTCTACTTTTTTATTTTAAAGCGCTATAAATACAAAAAGGTTGCATGGCTGTTTATACAGAGTCATATTAAATATTAAATATCAACTGTTTGATAATAATTTCTGTGAAGTGTAAGAAGTGTTTTCTGAGGTCACACTGACTTTGACCTTTGACCACCAAACTCTAATCAGTTCATCCTTGAGTCCTGATGAAGGTTTCCATCAAGGTGTTTCTGAGACATCGTGTCCACCAGAACGGACGAGATGTCGGACGTCCTGACAACAATATGGCCGCCGGCTCTAACTGTTGCCGGCGCGGAGGAATAACAAATGTGAATCTGTCCAGTGGCTTTATATTGATGATCGTTTGAGATGTTAATGTCAGTGTCACTTCCTGCAGGAGAGACGAGTCCCGACACCGAGGCGCCGCCTGCACAAGAGGAACCTGCAGGAAAACAAAGCAGCCGTCAGTCAAAACGCCGTCACCGCTGCTCAGTATGCAGCAGGGAGTTTTCCCGCCCATCTCGTCTGGCGGACCACCTGGCCACGCACACGGGCGAAAAACCTCACAGCTGCAACGTGTGTGGGAAGCGCTTCACAAAGAAGATAAACGTGACGGTGCATCAGCGGATTCACACCGGTGAGAAGCCGTACTCCTGTCCGGACTGCGGGGTCAGCTACGCCCAGCTGGGCTGCCTGCGGAGGCACCGCATCCAGCACGCCGCCGAGAAGCCCCACCAGTGCTCGGTGTGCGGGCGAGGATTCGCCGAGCGGCGGCATCTCGTACAGCACGAGCGGACGCACACCGGAGAGAGGCCGTTCTCCTGCCCGCTGTGCCCCAAACGCTTCGCCTCCAGGTCAGGTCTCAGCGACCACCAGAAGACCCACAGAGTGGAGAACCTGCACTGCTGCTCCTTCTGTGAGAAGGTCTTCTCCACGCCGTCGGCCCTCAGGGATCACGTGAGGCTCCACACGGGACAGAAGCTCCACCCCTGCTCGCTGTGCAGCAAGAGCTTCAACCGGCCGGGCCTGCTGAGGAAACACCTGCAGAAACACGCCGAGGAGAAACGAGCGGCCGCGGCTGAAGATGCTGCGAACAGCGTGAGTGACGTGTCTCTCACCTTGACCTGAGCCCACGGTGTCTTCGTTACACTGTGGCTCTTGGGGGGTGGTAACTGTTTTTCTACACAGCACGTAGTATAATTGTTTTCCAATCTGCTCAAGTGTTGTGTTGGTGGTTGAGCAGAGGTGTTGGGTGGCGAACAGGTGTGAGGTTTTCATGTTGCTTGCTCTGATCTCAAATCCACACAAGTTACACACAGATGCTCTAAACAGTTCAACATGAAAGGAGCAGCTGACGTGACGTACAGAAACAAGGTTTTTCAGGGGGGGGGCAGTGATGAGTGTTTACTGAACCTTTCACAGGATGGGGTGTGGTGGTTGGTTCCTCTGCTTCCAGTTAAACAGTCAGTCTAACGGCCGTGTGGTTTCTCTGTGACCTCAGAGATTAGAAGAAATGAATCTATTAGTTAATTAGTTAACGACGCTCAGTTCTAAAACATACGTGCTAATGAAGTCGATGTTTACTAAAGAAAACACCTCAGAGCTTCTGTAGCATGGGACTGTAGTATTTGAAACTCCACCTAATGATCACACATCGTCTTCAGGAGGAAAATCCTACTCGCTGCCTCGTGTGCCGCAAAGAGTTCTCCACCGCCGAGAAGCTGCAGCAGCACAAGCAGCTCCACCAGGGGGGGCTGCAGTTCGTCTGCGACATCTGCGGCCGGGGTTACACCAGAGCGTCGCGGCTCAAGGAGCACATGAGGTGTCACACCGGAGAGAGACCGTACCAGTGCCACGTCTGCAAGAAGCGCTTCTCCCTGCAGCGAGTGTTCAGGAAGCACCAGCAGATCCACTGCAGGGAGGGCCACGCCCCCGCCACGCCCCCGGACCACAGCTCAACGCCGTCAGGAGGCGACCACCAGGTGAGTGATCATCTGATCATAGAGCTGAAACAATTAGTCAGTTAAGCAATTAGTTCATCAACAGAAAATGAATCTGCAGCTATTCAGAGAATTCACTGGTTCCAGCTTTTTCATGTTTTATGTTAAACTGAAGATCTTTAGATTGTTGCTTCCCGCCCGTTTCCAGTCACAGTTTCCTGCAGAGGTTTACAACAGCAGCAGGTGATGACTCGGCTGGAGAAAAAGAAAACCAGAGAAATCAAATGAAGCTGCTTCTTTATTTAATGAGTATGAATGAGTTGAATATGAATCCCAGGTTTGATATGTGCAGAGGAACGAGGCTCACTGCTGCTGTCTTACAGCTCAGTGACAGCAGCGTGGAGGGGATGTCATCAGGTACTGACGGTCTGAACGAGCTGAAGGTCGAGCACGGAGAGGACGTGGTGCATTCACTGCCTGGTAAGAAACTCTGAGCATGCAGTGAGTCAGGAACTTTCTGTGTCGCACAGAAACACACACGTCAAAAGACTGAAACCATCAGAATCACATTGACATCACAGAGCAGCTCGACTGGAGGGATTTATAACGGTGGTCACTTCACTCTCTGTCACAGCACATTTAAAACCTGATAAACCAGAGACCAGAGAGGATTTACAATCACTTTCTCCTTTTTTAAGGCTCAGTTTCTGAATACAGGCTGTGTGCATTTCTCTGTGGACTGAGGCTTTGATACTTTCACAGTATTAATATAGAACCTAGACCTGATCTATAATCACACTACACATGGACAGAGACCTTTACACTGGAGGAGCTTTAAAGAGGAAATCAAACAACAAATAACATCCATCATGATGAGTCCTGCTCATCCTGGGTTTCATTCCTCTCTTCTTCTCTTTCATTCTCTCCATCAGACAGGAAGAATCTCTACATCTGCTCCGTCTGCGGGAAGAGCTACTCAAGGCCGTCCAGACTCAGAGAGCACTTCAAGATCCACGCCACAGAGAAGCTGCACCGCTGCTCGGTGTGTGGGAAGTCCTTCACCACCACCACCAACCTGAGGGCGCACGAGAAGATCCACATGGCCGACAAGCCCCACCCCTGCAGCATCTGCCCCAAGAGCTTCCTGAGGCCCTGCCTGCTCCGCAAACACATGAGGATCCACATCAGGGACGGACTCATCGCAGACCCCGCCGACAAGGTGAGACCAGGGTCCTGAGACATCAAATCACACAGCGGAATAAACTAATTTGTTTCTTTTCAATAGAAATAAATCAGGATTCCCTCAGTGCTCTACAACAGATGTGAGTTCTCTGTTCGTCTGCTGAAGCATGTGAAGAGAGGATGTGATGTGTTTCAGGAGTTCTGGCTTAACATGCAGACTGTGGAGGAGGAGAGAGAGGAGAAGGGAGGGCTGATGATGAAGGAGGAGGAGGAGGAGGAGGAGGAGGAGGAGGAGGAGGACGACAGTCTGGACGAGCAGGTAAGAACTAAAGCTGCGAGCACCAGCTGCTGCCTTCAAGAGAAGCTGGTCAGTTTGTGTCTTTTAAACAGGAAGTGGAGTGCAGAGCATGCTCGTGCTGCATTCAGGTCAAGATTTAGATGTTTACTATTTTAATAATTGTTTCCATGTGTGTGGGATTCCTCCTCTGTTGCTCTCCCTCAGGTTTCTTCCATTTTTCCTGTTAAATGTTTGAGGAGTTTTTCCTCGTGTGATTTACTCTCTGAGGGTATGTCCTCCGGTTCTCCAGTATCTCTTTAATGGACTTTTCAAAGGTTGATATCACATGACGCCCAGGTGTTTATATCCCAGTGTTCACATCTGTCTCAGCTGCTTCTGTAATGACGCCCCTTTTTCACCCTCTTTGACCAGATGCTGAAAAACTGAAATGCTCCAAAACAAACTTCCCTGATGGTGATGAAGTGAAATGTGTTGACCAGAGTCTGAGCTTCATCAACAACAGAGCAGTGTATGAGTGAAATAGATGTTTAATAAAAGCCTGACATGAGATTTTGTAAAATCACTGAGTGGAAGCGTCGTCCGCCATTCTGCTTTAACCAGCTTTTAGAGACCTGCTTCGACGCCTTCCAGCTCCGGCTCTGACTCACGTACCATCTCACAAGAATATGAAACGGAAAGTGGAGAGTCGACAGATTCTAACAACGTCTGAACCAGATTTCTACTCTGTGTTCTCACAGAGATATTAACAGGAACACCCGTCCTCCTCACAGGGTTGAGGGTCTCAGGACAGAGGTTGTTGAATGCTGCTCAGATCTTTTGGCCCTTTGAGGCACATTTCAGTTCTACATATAAAACCTGGCTTGACAACAGCTGTATAACTGAGGGGTTAAAATATTGTGCATTGACAGTATAGATCTATAATCCTTAAATTTGGGTTTATAACCTTGAAAATTGGACTTTAGCTGGTGAGAGGCTTCATGGGTGTTTGATTCTTTTATCATATTAAACTCAGAACTTTCATAAATGTTTGTAATTACAGCTTTAACTGGTAGTTACCACAACTCCCTCATCACCTGAAGGCAGCATCAGTGTTCAGGTTGTTAAACTGCTGAAGACAAAGTTCAGTTTTTAACGTCTTTGAGCGTCTGGTTTAAAAATGCTAAAATCTTTTAGACCATTAGACGTGGTTGAAAGCTCTGGGAAATGTCAGGCAGCTGCTCAAAGACGTCTGCTGAGACATGAAGGAGTTTTATTCTTCTATTAAACTGTCTAATGATCCTCCAGGACTCGGAAGACATTTTCACCACCACGCAGTCCTGCATCCCCAAATCCAGACCTCTACTTGGTAACCATGACGACCACAACAGTTTGCTGGTGAAGGAGGACGACAGTGGGGAAGGAGACGTCAGTGGTTTGATAAACTCTGATGGAGAGGAAGAAGACTGGAAACCAATGGTCATCGGTACGTCACAGAACATCACATTCATTTCATTTACTTTATTAACTTCTACGACCTGCTGCACTTATTCATTCATCTTACTTTATTCCTTTATTAACTCACATTATTTCACTCACTTCACTTTCTCACTGACGTCGCTTCCTCCTGCCCTTACCTGACTCCACCTACTTTTTGTGTTGATTCATTTTTATATATATATACGTTATATTTTGTCCTCAAGCGTTCAGGTTGAGCTGAGGAATAACTCTCTCTCCTCTGTCAGAAGCTGATGGCCGCTCAGAGGTGCAGGTAGACGGTGGCGGCGACGGTAAAAGCAAACACTGCTGTCCCGTGTGTGGTCGCGACTGCTTCAAAGCGTCAGCTCTACAGAAACACCTGAGGATCCACTCCGGCGAGCGTCCGTTCCAGTGCCCCACCTGCAGGAAGAGCTTCACCCAGCAGGTCCACATGACAGAGCACCAGAGGATCCACACCGGAGAGAAGCCCTACACCTGCAACGACTGTGGCAAGAGCTTCACCTTCTCCAGCGCCCTGCGCCGACACCAGCGGCTGCACACTGACGCCCGGCCGTACCAGTGCTCCGTCTGCCAGAAGACCTTCAAACAGCAGAGCTCGCTCAAGAGCCACCAGCTGACGCACTCGGGAGTCCGATACCAGTGTCCGGTCTGCAGCAAGAGCTTCAGCCGCGCCCTCGAGCTCACCTACCACGTGGATGTGCACTCAGAGGCCCGGCCATACTTCTGCAACATCTGCAAGAAGAACCTGAGCGGCGCCAGGATCTTCCGCAACCACATGAAGAAACACGAGTCTCAGAACTCGCCGCTGCCGCTGATGTCACCGCCACAAGATGGACCGTTGTCAGACTGAAACCACCGGAGAGACACTGACCCACAGAGCCGAGTTCAGTCAGTTCATCACGTCAGTTCCAAGAGAAACTGAACGACTTTAAAGGCTTTAAAGGGATAGTTCAACATTTTAGTTCAATGTCTGAGAGTCAAGTTCAAACCTGGAGGCAGGATGTGGTTATCCTAGCTTAGCATAAAGACTGGACACAGGGAGAAACGGGGAGCCTGGCTCTGCCAGCAGAAGTGTGAACAGTTTGTTTGTCGCTTTAGACGTGTTGGCAGGTGTGTTTGTGTGTTTTGGACAGAGCTAGCAGACTTCTTCAATATTCTCTGATTTAAAAGCAGCAGGTAGATCATGAAGCTGCGTCCTCTCTGGTCCCCTGACGCAACATTCAATATATAATAATATATAATGATAATGTAATAATAAATATATATAATATATCATTTTCTCATCCCACATATTTCAGAAATGGATCTGGAAGAAATGTCACTTATAAACAGATGTTGTTGTTGACGATATGAAGGTCAGAGGTCAGCCACAGAGCCACGCCCCCCCCCAGCCTGCAGGGGTTCAGTGCCTTGCTCAAGGACACTTTGTAAGGTTGATCAGTCAACCCAAAGACGGTTTGCGTTTACCCACGAGGCCGTTCTGCTGCTACTGAGTGTGTGAGTGTTTCTATCACTAACCCTGTAGGAACCAAAGGGACTGAACGTGTCTGAGTTACTGTCTGAGACAGTTTTTTTATTAGGAATCACTGAAACTCAATAAAGTCACTCAGACAAAACTCCTTCATCGAGTCTCTTACATCAGCTGAGATGATTTCAGATCAAAGATTATCCTGTGACGTGTCTTTGCCTTTGACATGGACCTGGACGTCCGATCACATTGAGTCAATGTCCTTCAGCGGTCCAGATCCTGCTCCTCGTTTTCTTATGATCAGCTGGTTCAATCACCATCGTCATCATCAGTTTCACTTTCAGGCATCAACAAGGTCTCAGTCTAAACTGACAACAGGCCTGGATCATATGGAAGCCCATTCCTGCTGAAAATATATGTAGATATACTGTACATCAGTCAGGTTTTATTGTTGTGGCTGATGATGTGAATCCGTGTTTTAAGAGTTTATTCTGAATCGTTGGGAATTTGATTTGAAACTTGATTTGTAGTTTCAATTATTTTCCATGACTTTTTGGTTTGAAGAACACACAGATCAGTCACGACATTAAAACCAGTCACCTGTTTATAATGTGAGTTATATATATTTAAAAAAAATTGTAATTGTAAATTGAAATTGTGAGATTAAGTCACCACGATTCAAACTGCAACAGTTATGAGAAAGTTCATTCTTGACCTTTGAAACAAGTTAAGAAAACAACAATAATAAAAAACTTTATTATATTATTTATTGTACAACACATTTTAAAAATGGAGAGATGAAGTCAAGTTAGAGAGTGAGGAGAAACAATACGCTTCAATATTAATAAGGACAATTAGACAGAAGACGTAAAAACAATTAAGAGACAACATCAGATCAAGTCACTGAAGGTCGTTCCACAGTCGACGGTCACCTTTAGGTTTTAGACTCGACTTTGGATCGACATGAAGAGCCCCACCCACCCAGTCTGACCATGAAGTCCACATGGTCACTTCCTGTGTGTGCTCACTTCCTGGTCCTGATCTGCTTCATCCACCAGACTTCAGGAGTCTGTCTGGAAGAAATATTAATAATGAAGCAAGTAATAAGTCCTGAGTCAGAGAATGTAAAGAACATTCACACAGTGCTGGCTGGTAAATAAACGACATGATTTGGTTTTTGTCTGAATTAAAAACGATTAATTAATTATTGATTAATTAATAATTGATTAGTTGTTGGATTAAATCTTCAGATGTGAATGTTTGTGGATTTTCTTTGTTTCAGTTTCATAGAAAATAATGTGAATATTTATGGATTCCATCAGTTTCTATCTTTGCTTTTAGTGTCGAGTCTCTCGAGTTCATTAAAGCCTCCACAAACATCCTGATGGTGTTCTCACATCTGTCCTGAAGGTGGCAGCAGAGACACAGGAGTCCTGCTCTGGTCTGACCCCAGCCTCCTGCAGGGGGCGTGGTCAGGCTGAGACAGTGGGTGGAGTCAGTGGCAGCAGGTTAAAACCTCCTGTCAGGCTGCTGCAGGTCCAGGTCTCACCCTGATCCCTGCTCCTCTCCTCCACTCAGACTTCAGGCTCCTCTTCATCATGGCGGCTGCTCAGAGACTCCAGGACATTTTCACCAACAGCTCAGAGACCAACACGACTGGAGCTCAGGACTGGACTGAGGTGAGAGTCGCACTGAGACACGGGGACACACATTATATTATGGACTTTATATTCTGTCATTGTTATTGATCCAGTGGGTCTCGACATGGGATAATCAATCAATAAACAAACAAATAATAAATTTAAATCACTGTAGAGTCAGGAGATCCATATACATATTTACACTCTATTGTCTTTTTGCTTTTTGATTCATCAGGCCAGAAAAAAGATTGTGACTAAAGGGATGTTTTTACATCATATTTTAATACACAGTGTCACCAGTAATAATAATATATCTGTCAAATTCATGTAAAGCAACACAAGGATAAAGGAGCAGGAGCAAGTATCATAAAGTTACTGCAGTATTTTTAGTGTGGATGGACTCACAGCATCAGCAGCTGTGTGTCTGTGTGAAGGAGTGTTTTCATTTGGAGCCGTCACTTTTAAATTTTAATAAATCAATTATTCCGTCAAGTCAGTTTCTATATACAGCACAGTTTAATACACTGTCACTGCAGCAAAGACACGGGACAGAAAAACTGCACAATGCCAGTAAGAAATATTTAGAAAGACAAATAATAGATAATAATATAATATAAATATATATAATTATAATATAATATACAATAGATATTTACAAAGATTTACAAAATAGAACATAAAATGATGAAATGCTCATCAGACATCACAAAGTGATTCAGTTTGTAATTAACACAAGAAACAGCTGCAACATCTTTACTGAAGTTCATTGATTAGCTTGATCAGCTGACAACGTCAGCTCCTCAGCTGCAGGTTGTGTTCAGGTTTCAGACGATCTGTGGGGTTTTTCACGTCTCGCTCACAGTTCGTCTCCCTCTCTATTTTTATGACTTTCACATCTGCAGCGAAGGTGTGTGTGTGTGTGTGTGTGTGTGTGTGTGTGTGTGTGTGTGTGTGTGTGTGTGTGTTTGTGTGTGTGTGGGACCTGTTTGGTTGATTTGAACTGAGTGTGACGTCGGTGACGTTGAATGCCTCCTGTCTGCAGGTGTATGAAGCCGTCAGGTGGATCCAGCTGGTCATGGCTCTGCTCAGGTAAGTGAGGTCGTCACCGCTCTCAGAATTAAAGTCTGAATCTTACTGAACCATTAAGATTTTTAATATTTAAAATCAGCACATTCAGCTTTTATTTCTGGATAATTCACATTGAGAAGCAGCACTGGGAAAGAGGAGAGAGGTCAGAGGTCACAGCACTCAAACAATAGAGGGAAATGTTGCAGTCAACATGAAATAATGTGATTACAGCTCCTTTATGTTTCACAGCTGTAGCTCCTGCACAGCGTTTACACTCAGAGAGGTTTGACTGGATGAATTCAGCTCAGGATGAACTGATGTGAAATAAGAACGTGATGAAGTATTAATTTAATGTGTCTGTGGGATCTGATTCGCAGCGTTCTGGGCTCGGGCTCCATCATCGCCTGTGTGATGTCACAGAGACTCAGCCGCACACCCGAGGTCAGTTGCCCACAGACTCTCGCCTGTGACATGATGTTCAGTGTCAGTCAGTCCCTCCACAGAGTCAAAATACTTCACCCAAAATCCAACCAAGCCCCGTGACCCCTGCACGACCTCCACATTTCTGTCCACGTTTGACCAATCATCAAAGTTTCCCTCCAGTTAAACCAATCACACCAGTCCCTGATCAAAACCTTGATCAATTGATTTTCTCTGGCAGTTTCATTGCAAAAAAACATCTAAACACAATTTGTGAGAAAAGCTGCTGTGAAATCAGGGATTTGAGGTATTTTTATTTCAGGTATTTCAGCCTGTGAAATCCTGGAGGACTGATGGGTTCATACTGAAGAGTCAACACAAAGTGAAGCTGGTCTTTGTGTCTCCGCCTCTTTATCTCAGTCTCACTTTGTTGTTTTCACTTCATCAGGTTCATGAGAGGTTTTAAATTCATATCTGAGCATCGTCTCACAAACACAATCTTTTCATATATTTTGCATTTATTTATCTCATCATGTAGAAACTGATGTAAACTCTTCACCCCCTTCGTGTGTGTGTGTGTGTGTGTGTGTGTGTGTGTGTGTGTGTGTGTGTGTGTGTGTGCGTGCGTGCGTGTGTGCGTGCGTGCGTGCGTGCGTGCGTGTGTGTGCGTGTGTGCGCGCAGCTGCAGCCTCTGTTCCTGCTCAGTGTGTCAGACCTGCTGCTTGCTCTCTGCTGGTTGATCGGAGCCGCTCTCTTCTCTAAACACTGCAACAGCCTGAACGCACACTGTTACAACCTGCACACTGTGGAACAGGTAAAACAACACACACACACACACTAAAACAACACACACACACACACACACACACACACACCCTGATATGTCTGATTCATCGGCTCCTCCGTTGTTTCCAGAAACATCAGTCCTGCTGCCACAAATATTCACTCCAGCACCAAGTGTGGTTTAATCCGCCGCTGAAAATAGTCCCCAACAAATGCACCGTTTCCTCCTTTTTAAAAATGAAGCTACAGTTTATGTTTCTGGGGTTTTTTTAAATCTTCACGTCTTCAGTCTGATCCAGTGATGCAGCACAGGAAACAGGAAACACTGCAGCAGAGTGTGACTGCCTCACTTCGTGTGTCTGAGCTCTACACTGCTATAAAGTGCACATGGCCTCTGCACGTCAAATATTTAATATTCAAACCAAGAGTTCAGGTTGCTGAAGAAGCAGCATGAGGTCAGATGACACCGACTCACCAGCCACCGCTCAATCAGCCTCTTTCTCTTTTTGCTGCTGGTTTTTTTGGGAAAAGTTTTGAGCTTTTACAATAACAGTGTGTTTCCTCAAAAGTCAGACAAAATAAGGAACCTTCATATAAAACTTATTCTTAATCCTCCTGACCCAGAGAGACAGTTTACAACTGGAAAATCTCAACTTCCTGCTGAGAAAAACACCTGAAATCAAAACTCCCAAATACAGAAACCTGCAGGAGATTCTTCAGATCTACACTCCTGTCTCTGCATTTAGTAACGTATTGTTACTGAGAGCAATGTCTGAATCAGTGACGCAGCAGACTGAACCTGGCCGAAGGTCACACCGGACTGTTTCTGACCGTAAACAATCACAAAGGTTTTCATTCCCACACCACGAGTCGAACCCGGGACTCCTGACCGCTGGACCACATGGGACATGACTCCTTTCTTTAAGGTTTCTCAACACATGGGAAAAAAACAGCTGAGTCTTTTCCAGATCATCTGCTGATCTTTCCACCTTTAAACCTTCAGTAGCAGAGTTTCTCTACGGTTCTCTCTCCTGCGCAGAACGTCTCAGACAATGTTCTGAGGAACTTTAGGTAGAGAACAGGTGATCTGCAGCAGGAAGTCTGCTGCAGGAACATAAAGTCTCTGCTGCACGTCGTCACCTTAAAGACTCAGATTTAATTGGCTGAACATGCAAAAAGACAGAGAGGTCCTTTAAAGGATGTTGACTCTACAGCACCGTGTTTAGACTGCTGCGATGAACTGGTGAAATATTGACTGGACAGTAAACAAGTCACCCCGTCCTGTCCTGGTGTTTTGGGGCAGTTTGTCCCAGACGACCCGGTCCAGAACTGCTGATCCTGAACTGGGTCAGCTGGGGGGGGGGGCAGGACCAGGAGCAGGACCAGGACCAGGACAAACAACAGACTGGATGTAAAGAGGGAAACAGAAAAACATTCCTGACCTACATCCATTGTTGAGAGGCAGCGACCCCTGGGTCTGCTGCTGATTTTCTCCCTGTGGCGTGTTCACTGTTCACAACGTGTGAACGTGAATGTGACACGAGGGCGAGCAGCCTGATGATGACCTCACACTGTGTCTCTGTTCTGCCAGGTTCTGTACATGGCCTCCTTCTTCTACACGCTCAACTACATGTGGAACCTCTACACAGGAATCAGAGAGAAGTTCTACAGCTGCCATGATGGATACCCTGTACAGGTAGATACACGCCCACCTCACAGGTAAGGGGTTGTCTTAGACTCAGACATCAACAAGGTGAAGAAAACATAATTTTTCCAGTTTAGAAAAGGTGGAATTTGAATGAATGAATGAATCACTGTAGATGAGAAAATGCAAACTGAGCCTTAAAACCAGCCGTCAGGACTTCTGGAACTTTGTGATGTCACAACAAAGCAGTCACCAAGCCCCGCCCACCTGGACCCACCATCCAAACCTTGCAGGATTTGGTTTCTCTGAGTGTTTTTACCTGAAATCTGGTATATTTTTATTGGATCACTCAGAAAACAGTCAGCCAATCAGAAGAGAGGCTCAGAGCCTCCTCTCTTCTGATTGGCTCACCGACCTGTTGTTACTAGAGCTGCAGAGAGAAGCCTGAGAGAGGAGATGTAAAACTACACTGAGATGGTTTTCATATCTTCTGATGGATCAACACTTCAAATAAAACACAGAAGAAGAAACATGGAGCTTTAACAGAATGAAATAGAATATAGAAAATAGAAATATAGAAAATAGAAATACTCTGTTAATAAGGTCCAACAACCTTCTCCTGCCTTTTTCTCCACAGTTTTCCAACAGAGTGAGCACAGCTGGTAAAACCACTGCTCTGCTCTCAGGGTGAGTCCAAACTGTTCAGTGACACTGGAAGAAGCAAAGTGACGTTCAAGTTCCAGCATAAAAATCATGGAAAACACACGTGTTGAATAAACTGTTTGACCTGTTTCAGTGTGATTCCTCTGCTGCTGATGATGCCTGTGTTTATACAAGGGAACATCAGCCAATGTCAGGCCAACTTCAGTGAGCCCTACAGGTGAGGAGAGGTGCTTTTATTTACCTGTTTAAAAATATATTTACCTGTTTCCAACTTTTACTCTGATTCTTGATCTAGTTGTTTATTTATTTAAGTCAGAAAGTTATGAAGGAAAACTCTGGAACAGATGATGTGAAGTTATTTAGAAATGTGTTTGATGTTTGAGTTTTTATTCCTCCGTCCGGTGACTGTCAGAGCGGCGGCCATTTTGTTTTCAGGTTGTCCGTCCGTCCGTCTCATTCTCGTGGACACGATGTCTCAGAAACGCCTCGACGTAACGTCTTCAAATTTGGCACAAACGTTCACCACGACTCAAGGATGAACTGAATAGATTTTGGTGGTCAAAGGTCAAAGGTCAAGGTCACGGTGACCGCAGAAAACATGTTTTAGCCGTTACTCAAGACTTGAAAGACAGAAATTATAACAAAATGTCACACACCTATTTAATATTTTCTCTCACTCAGGATAAACAGGAAGTAACCTGAGACCAGTCTGAGTGGCGGAGGGATACGACCATGAGAAGCTGACTCTAGATTTTTCTTTGCACTGTATCAAACCAGGTGTCTGCTGCTGCACACTGGAGCACTGTACCTGACCACAGAGCAACATCAGCCAGTCACAACCTGCAGCCTGTTGCACACCTACAGCATCGTCGTCTTCCTCCTCGCCTTCATCCTCACACTCCTCAGCATCACGGTGAGTTCACACGCGTGACGTACCGCTCATATGTTTGTAGGCATGTTGGACTAAAGAACAAATGGCGGCCTCGTATAACATGAATCTGTCTCTGCTGCACCAGGTGTTCGTGGTGAAAGCCCGGCGTATTTACAGGCGGGTTGTGACGTCAAACGGTTACCTTGGCAACCAGCAGCGGACCTCCTTCCGTGTGATGGACCGACGGATGCTCCTTTACCCACTGGTCTTCATCCTCTGCTGGGGTCCAGGTTTGTTTCTTCATCCTAATTCAAGTTACCATGGTTACTGAACGGAATCGACCTGGTGGCAGAGTTTGGAAAGTCCTGATTGGCTGCTGTGGCTCCAGCAATGGAGGTAACCGGTGTGTTTGTGTGCTGCTCCCTCAGCGGTGGGTCTGGCGTCTCTGCGGGTGGTGAAGCCCTCGGCGTGTCAGGGCAAGGCCGGGGTCGTCTTCTACATATCGCAGGTGAGTGTGCTGCAGGACGGAGGCTTTAAACCTCACCTGTGAACAAGGTCTCCTCACTGTGACCTTCAACCTCTGCATGCCGCTTCATTTTCCCTCTCTGTTATCATTTTGTCTCTTTTCATTTCCTTTTATAAGGAACATAAACAGTCACTGAAAACAGAGTCTCCTGCCCCCGACCCCTCAGGCCCTCGACCGAAAAACAGAATTATATTGATGAATTTATGAAATTATAGCAGCAGAAATGAACATTATATGACATCACACCCCGGCTGTTAATTAACTCCAGGTTTTATATATAGAATATTATATAATAATATACAATATATATTAAGAATACTCTGCTTTAAGGGGCCAAGTTTGTTGCTGTGTATTACTCAGTGATCAACACGCTGATAAAGAAGGAGGAAACGTCTGAAAAGTCAAATAATCTCTGACTCGAGTTATTTTTATGTTTTGTATGAAATACTGGAAATAGGAAATAGTCCATTAAAAAGCAGCAAAAAGAAAGTTGAGAACAAGTTGCATTAAAATGTGGAAAACCATCAGAAGGATTGATGATGATCTCCCCGTCCTCAGGCCTTCACCTCGGCCTCTCAGGGTTTCCTCAACTGTCTGGTCTACGGATGGACGCGTGCACGGCTGCGGCGAGCCGGCAGGACGGCATTGTCTCGGGACGTGGACACTCAGACGCCTCTGCTGCGATCGCAGAAAAAGAGAAGCTACCAGGCGCTCCCCAACATCAGCTGAAAGACAAGAGACACACTGAGGCTGAGTGGGTGTTTTCTCTCATGTGCAGAAAAGACTCAAGATGAAAGTCTCAACTTTCACTTTCAGCGGGAGGGAAAACACCGAGGTCGTCTCTGTTCAGAGGACAAAGACTTCCACCTCTGATCCTGAACCGCTGAGGCGAGAAAAAGGGAACAAGTAGAAGGAGGGGGAGTTTACACCAAGAGGAAGAACGACAAACAAAAAGGATTTGAAAGAGACATGGCAGACCTCACAGGTGCTTACTGTTCTGATCCAGGTCACATGACCCCTGGTGGTGGGTGGCATTATAACAGGTTTGACTTCAATGATTTCAGCCCCTCAGCAAACAGAACAAAATGATATTTGAAGGCGTTTTAACCTGTAAATAATTAAAAACATTGATCATTAGAAGAAATTCACTTTAAAGTATGAAGTTATTTTCACAGTTTAAACGCACCAGAGAATAGAACCAGTTCATTTCCACCTTAAAAAGACCACAAACATTTTATATTAATATTGAGATAAGGGGCCTTGAATATGTGACAGGTTCGATACTCAGCTCTGCCCCCACCTGCAAGTTCAGGAAGTTTGAGACTGAAGTTCAAGAGAATGAAGAGCTTGAGTTTAAACTTAGGAAGTTGTGTACAAACATCATGAAGCTTTTTTTAAGGAACATTTATTTGTTTAAAACATCTTTTTGAATCTGTGATGCCGTTTTTTTTAAAAAGCTCCTCCAGTGTAAAGGTCTCTGTCCATGTGTAGTGTGATTATAGATCAGGTCTAGGTTCTATATTAATACTGTGAAAGTATCAAAGCCTCAGTCCACAGAGAAATGCACACAGCCTGTATTCAGAAACTGAGCCTTAAAACCAGCCGTCAGGACTTCTGGAACTTTGTGATGTCACAACAAAGCAGTCACCAAGCCCCGCCCACCTGGACCCACCATCCAAACCTTGCAGGATTTGGTTTCTCTGAGTGTTTTACCTGAAATCTGCTTTATTTTTATTGGATCACTCAGAAAACAGTCAGCCAATCAGAAGAGAGGCTCAGAGCCTCCTCTCTTCTGATTGGCTCACCGACCTGTTGTTACTAGAGCTGCAGAGAGAAGAAGAGTGTTTTTACCTGAAATCTGCTTTATTTTTATTGGAGCTGAGCCTCTCTTTACCCTTTTTAAAGAGATGTAAAGCTTAAAGAAATCAGGACTGGGATATTTACCGACAAATTTTATGTCACAGAAATGAGTCCTAAAACCTGGACATTAGTTGTATTCTAATCTACTTCCTGTTCCCTGTCCTGAAGTCTCTGATTTGTTGATTGTGTTTTTGATTGATGACTGAAATCAGGTCTGTGTTTAACACAAGCTCAAGATATTTTGATGTTTTATTCTCCAACATAAAATCAGTCAGTAAATACTCCAGTCAGATTTCTTTAGTCCTTTATGTCTCTGTTGCTAACGAGTGTCTAAATGAGACACAGAGGTTGTCGGGGACATTAAACATGAAAATCAATCTACTCACCAGTCCACCTTTACAGCCTGGTTGTGTTTCTACAAACTGTCACTGACTCTGTCAGAGGAAAGGCTTCAGTAGAAGAGGTCAGAGCTGAATCAGTAATCCCTGCAGCTCTCTCTCTCTCTCTCTCTCTCTGTCTCTGTGTCTTACTCTGATTGATTGCAGCTGAATGGACGTTTGAGCAAATTATAATTCAAATATCAACAATTATAAACATGTTATTGGGTGTGAATGGCAGAAGGTCAGAGGTCAACCTGTCAAACATCAGAATCTACAGCTCTGATGACAGTACTGATGAAATCACTTAATGAATGTGACTTCTGACCCCAGTTTTCCCCTCGTGGTTGCAGTCGTGATCATGGTGTGTAGCTGCTGACCGAAACTCTCGCACCATGTGACCACGGCTTCATTCACAGAGAAAATGCCTGACGCAGGAGCCCGCTGGCCTCACTCATTATGTGATGTGGCATTCAGACCGCGGCCCCTGGCGTTTCGCCAGAATCTGCAGGACAATGAGTTTCACCTTCAGTCAAACCTCAGCTTCTCTGAAATACTGAAGTCCGTAACGTCACGGCAGCAAACTGTCACTGAACCGTGACGGAGCGATGACAGCAACAACAGCAACAACACAAACAACACCAACACCAACAACACCAACACCAACACCAACACCACCAACACCAACAACACCAACACCAACACCAACACCAACACCACCAACACCAACACCAACACCAACACCAACACCAACAACACCAACACCAACACCACCAACACCAACAACACCAACACCAACACCAACACCAACACCACCAACACCAACACCAACAACACCAACACCAACACCAACACCAACACCAACACCAACACCAACACCACCACCTGACCCTGAGACTGAAGCAGCTGCATCATTCGTTTCACCTGTGGCTGCAGTTGTGTAACTCTTTAAGCGTCTTCAGACTCTCTCTGTGGGAAGTAAAGAGGCTTAAAAGGACAAATCCAAAGACTTGGGGACGTTTTCCTGAACAATAATCTCATAGAGGATCATATCTACATCTTCTTTTTTCTGTTTGTTTGACTGTTCATCTGTATATTTGTAGCCTTTGTTTTAATGGATGTTCATATATGTTTTCTTCTCCCTCCTCTGTCTGTGAATCTGACACAATAAATACAACAGTTGAATAAATAAAACGTGGCTCAGATGTTTCTCTGTGGCTCAGTGAGGCTTTTATGTGTTTCAGATAACAGATCATCACAATCACAGTTAATGGTCAAATGTGTGGATACGTACAGGCTGCGTCCAGGGAGGGAGGGGGCTCCAGTTATTTATTATATATAGTTGCCAAAACATCATCTGATCCAGGTTGAAATTATCAATCTGGTGTAATTCTATATTTGTATAATAGTTAACAAAACTCAAACCGACTGCCCCTCAACACAGCGGCGGATTAATCCACATTTGGTGCTGTGAGTGTTGGTGGCAGCAGGACGGAGGAATCAGACCCATCACAACACGTGTTAGTAGGAGACAGTCAGAGATAGTTGGAGTCGGACATGAGATTTGGTGATAAGAATTAAAATATAAATTATAAAAAGACAAAAAATACTTTTATATACCAGGTTGAATGACATGAAGACTGGTATTGTTGTGTTATCAGTAACTGGTAAAAGACCTGTGACTGAAGAACAATATGTCACATTTTGATGATGATGATGAAAATGTGTTTTTTCTGAAATTAAAATGGAAAGTTTTTAATGGAAAAATGAAAAGTCAAACAGTTGAAACACTCATCATTTAACATGTGTCATCACTTGTGGATATAAACTGGAAAAATGTTGAAATTTGTATTTTAAAAATCAGTTTTACTTATTTTCTGGCATCAGGTTTATCGCACTGAGATTCACGTCCACAGGAGACGAGTTTAAAAGGTTAACTCTCGTCAGTAAATATATCTGATCAGCTGAGACATTAATAATTAATCATTAAAAAAATCCCAGTTTAATGGACTTTCCACAGCCTGTGATCAGGACTCTACACGTGCAGAAACGTAGTTCTGCTCATGTGAGTTGCGTAATCTGTGTGTATGTGTACACAGCACGTTCTGCACTGAAGCGTCTCAGTGTGATGACATAATCTCTGTCAGCGTGTCATCACAACCGATTACACACCTTCAAGCAGCCGTCTGTTCTTGTGCATAAACACTCCTGATGGGAGGTGAATGACGCCCCCGACAGGAAGAAACAGAACAACGTTTTGATTTTACTGACGCTGAGCAGAACGGCAGAAAAGAGAAATCATCAGTCACATTATTGGACGATCAGATGCATCAGGAAACAAAGTCAGACGACAGAAAATCAGATGAAAAAATGTTTTAAAAAAGCCAAACTGAACAGAGAAAAAGAATCATTTCCAAATATTCTTAAATACTCAGCTTTGAATCTAAATGTTTAAAGTGAGACTGAAACTTTCCTGGTTTGACAGCACAGGGAAGAACAACTCATCCTAAAACAGACCGGGGACAAATAAAAGACAACCAATAAATGAAGATGTTTCCATTCAGGCCACAAGAGTTCACTATAGAGCTGCTCACTGATTATTCAATTTATCTTTAAATCTATAAAATGTAAAAATCATTGTGTGAAATCTCTATGAAAAATAATTACATACTTTGTTTGTGATTATAATGACTTAATGATCTTTTTCTAATCACATTGTTGGACGTCCACAGATAAATATGTTCTTTACTGTGAAAAGGTCTGGAGGGTCAGAAACATGATCATCAGGTCAGAGGCAGTAACTTCATTATGTAACTACCTGTTACAGGGGAAAGACTCATTTCTTGTGGCAGGATGTGGCGCCCTCTGCTGGAATAAAAACCACACGACACTCTGAGAGGTTTCAGCTTTTATTCTCTGTTCAGCAGAGAAGAAACAAACTGTGACCTTCACCTTCAGAAAACCTACGGCGGAGTACTGGAGCCAAACCGAGGAACAATCTGACGTTTTGAATTCAGTGTGGCCTCAGCGTGAGTTCAGCGTGAGCTCAGTGTGAGGTCAGTGTGAGGTCAGCGTGAGTTGTGTTTTATCTTCCAGGCTGAGCTCATGTGCCGAGTGTCGTTCACCACCATCTGAGAGGAGCGGCCAAAGCCACTTCCTTTGTGGATGAGCCACTTAGATCCATCAATCAGGGTGACTCTGGGAAACAAACAGCAGTTTGAATTGCTTAGTGTGTGTGGACTGACCTGACTCCACTGTGGGTGCTGGGGTCGTGGTGTGGAGAGAAGGATCTTATGATTGGACTGAAGGCTGAAGCAAATGAACTGGATGCTTAACTAGATATTGGGCGCTTCATCCTCTCAGCGCTGTTCAACGGAGAGCCCAAGACCGTGGACACGCCCGAGCCCAACAGGTCGTAGCTGTAGTTTCTGGAGCCGCCTGTCAAATGAGTCACATTTCTTTAAACCTTGCTCGAAACAACAAACAGGAGAGTCACAGAATCGCACAGCCATTTTTATAACATTCAAAAAAACTGAGACATACAGGTGAGGTTTTATACAGTCCTGATGCTCCTCCTCCTCCCAGTTTGGACACAGTTCTCATTAAAAATTTCCCAGTTAACATCAGTGTTTGTGACCCTGCATCTGTAGTTTGCACAGTGCTGACAGAAAACACAGAAGGTTTCATCACAGCAGAGGTGACTGCAGCACAGATCAGATCCAAGAAACAAACTAGAGTCAGCAAAGTGGATTTTAAGAATCATGACCATACGCCTAACACACCTTTGTAGGAGCCTCACTGGCTGACCTCTTTAGACTTCCAGAAGTTGTGCCAGAAACCTCTACTCTACTTCTACATGTTTCAAAAGTTTCACTGTGTAATTTTCACACTGGGCCGTGATTGGCTCCAGACTGGATGTGATGTCATAACTCATGCAGGTAGGTCCAGGTGTTAGACTGAGGTTTGAGGTGAGAACAGAGAAACTGAGAACAAACTCTGTGCAACATGTTTATTCCTCAGGTCTCCTCCAGGCTACCAGGACCCAGGTGAGTGCAGCGATACAGAGTAAAATAAAAGGAGAAGAAAAGGTTGCCTCTGGTGTGATGTGTCATGCTTTGGGTTTTATTTGTCCAGATTTCTGTCTCCACCATGATATGACGTTTTACAACCAACTA